TATGTATGTATATATGGGCTGGGAATGCAGGTCAGTGTGAAAACCCTACATTCAGTCTCCAGTACTGCTTGGCAGGGGTGGGAGTGGGTGACTGTTTACTCTGATTCTGTTCTTGGTAACCAACCCACAGGTCATCAGTTTAGCACACATACATCCTGAGAATTGAACCCAGGGCCTTTGTACTGAGTTATATCCCTAACCCGGTTGTGGAATTTTTTTTTGAGGCAAGGCTTAAAATGTAATTGTGCCTCAGCTTTCCCAAGTGCTGGGATTATAGGCAAGCACCACCATGTCCAACTCAGTTTAGCTTTTGTTGGCTGTACCTTGATGTTGTTGGCAAGGAGTTTCTTTGGAATGTATTTTCATTCTTTCAAACACAAATACTTAAGAAGTTGGCCAGAAACAATAGTCGAGCACCCCAAGCCACATGTAGAGAGTCTGTGGTGACTCACAGTGCTGGACAAGGAATTATGAACAAAGAGGAACAGTTGATAGACAATGATTTGAGGAGTGATAACATTTGCAGTGTTTGTAAGCCATGAATAGGCTAAGAAACACTCTCTTTTTGCCACATTTGTTTTGAGTTAAATATTGAGAGTGCCAAAATCTGATCTTTTGTACACCAAATCAATAAGGGGCCATAGAGTGTTTTGAAAAATACTATTTAATTGCAAACCAAGATTGTCCTCCATATGAGCTTTCCAGTAGTACTTATGAAGGACTTAAAGCCATTTTGAGTAAGAAAATAAGCTGGATCATACGGTATGCACAAAATAAAGATTGGGACTCAGACTCTGAATGTTTTAAAAGCCCCCAGAATCACCTAAATTTAGGCACAAGCCAGTTAAAAAATTACTCCCACAATTTGAATCTCAAGTACCAAAATATCCCGCAAAATGGATAGGTAGAAGTGTAACTGGCATCTCAAACTGTACATAAGGAATAGTGGAACAGACAAAATACAGACTTGAGCTTACTGTAATATTCATGTGCCACTTCTTGCCATGACAGTGTTTTGTGGCCTCACAGTCACAACAGGCACAGAAGAAAGAAGGGACTATCTTTAGTACAGAAGCTAATGCTGAGAGCCACAATCTATATTGCAACAGAGAGGAACTGAATTCAATGAATTTTGGTGATGTAGAACAACTGAATACAAAGCTCCTACAGCAAATTCAAGAAGTTTTTGAAGAGTTGACACACTAAGAGCACGAAAAAGATTCTTTGACATCAGAGCTCTATGTCATGTTGCTACTGAACAGCTCCTAGAACTATTTCAAGTTACTATGCCTACAAGTAGTAGGAACAGGAATGAAGTCACACCTGTCCATAAACAACTGAACTAAATTTACACGTACTTCATATACTTTAGCTTTTACTGTTCCATCAAGCATGCAAATTTTGAAGAAGCTTAAAAAAGTTATGCTCCATTTACTTATGGTCATTAAACTGGCAATGCATAAGGGGGTATTTAATATCTTCGTCTAGTAAAGCAAATCAACATACTCTAGCCTTCCAGGGTTAATTATTTGACTTCACTTTGGAAATGTTTTTCCCGTAATTACTGACTGTCCTTCCCTATGTTTTACCAAGTGTGACTATTCAATACACTGTTAAAGTGTGATTTTATGAAATATATTTTAAATTGTCTGAACAATAGAAGATCAACAAATTCCTATTAATCTGAACCACTAAAGACAATTTTTAAGAGGGAAATGGAATTCATAGTATCACCTCTTATTTACTATGAGCAATATTTTAGTACAAAATTTTATATTAAAAAAAAAATAGAAGTAATTTCAGACTCTCCAGAGTCTGATAAGTATTTTCTGTGTTCTGTTGGATACCATCCTTGGATCCTAAACTCCTGTAGTCCTGTTACATACTTCATTTCTTCCAACCTTTATAGAATTTTAAGAAGGATACATGAGAGTTAAATAGCATACACACGAGTCTCATTATTCTACAGCTGCCTGTCCTGGCCACCCAACATTCTTTATATCCTTAGTCAAGGAGATGGTGAGTCGCATTATGCCCCAGACATTCCATCTGGCTGGGTCTCTTTTCTTGGAACTGCCAAGCAACCCATTCTCAGCCATAAACTTATTAGCCTTTGAATTTTCTGTGTATCTTACAGTATAAGACCATCAGAAATAGAACTGCATGTGAATTTCTTCCTTCCAGCTTTGTATTTATGTTTGTAGAAGCAATTAAAAGAGTATACAGATTCCAGGTATATTAAACTTTTGGAAAGTTTCAGTTGTCTTTGAAATGAAATCACTACAGCTGTTGTTCCATGGCTTTTCTGTCAATGTCAGAAGCCCAGTGTTGGGGCCTCAGGACATAGAGGAGATGGCAGTGACCTGTAACTTTCACTTTGTTCTCTACAGAAACGTTACGTGCTAGAAGAAGCTGAGCAGCTGGAGCCTAGAGTTAGTGCTTTAGAAGAAGACATGGATGATGTGGAGTCTAGTGAAGAGGAAGAGGAAGAGGATGAGAAGGTGAGGCACCTAAGAATTTGAGAGGCTGAGGAGGAATGGGAATGATCTTTGTGTTTCAAACTTTAATTTTTAATCTTCTTTAAAAAATATTTACCTGGGCCGGGGATTTAGCTCGGTGGTTCTGGTGCCTGCCTCGCAAGTGCAAGGACTTGAGTTCAATCCCCGGTACCAAGAAAAAAAACATTGTTTTCCCTTTAAAATATGAACTTTAGAATCAAATACCCCATAATTCATATCTTACTGCTGCCATTTACTAGTGCTGGGGGTTAAACCCATAGCTATGTCCTCAGTTCCATAGTAGAGGTATAATTATAAAAATTACTTAACCTTAATTTTCTCCTTTGTAAAATAAGGATAGTAATTTTCTCTCAAGACTATTGTAAGTGTTAAATGAAGCCTTCTTTTCCCTTTTTATGCCATTCAGGCTACAAGTCTATTATTATTTAGTGCCATCCATAGCCAGTCAGTGGACTGATCCGGTTATCACACCCATGATCTAGTAGTCATTCCCATATGAGTGTATTTCGCTTTGGGGGCACATCTAGATAAAAGCTATAACACCTGTGAAGTAAGATCTAATTACTTTTACTTGATATGGATAACTGACAGTTTCACTTTTTAAAAATCCAGCTATTCGTTCCTAAGTATCTCTTGCTGATTGTTCCCCTTTTTGATGGCATGTTTCATTTGAACATTGCATACATAACTCATACTTTCTGACAATTCAGTATCAGACTCCTCGAGGTGTCTACTTCAGTTGGTTGCTACTGCTGTAGCCCACCATGACTTCACTTCTCATGTGACTGGTGATATTCATTGATTCATCTTGACTAATGAGGTTCCTGAGGTGGCAATGTGGAGATGCAAAGTGTTCCTCCAAAAACAGTTTGCAGCCATGTTTCACTTAGTGGTCAGCATACATTCTTCGTGGCTGGTTTTTGTAGTGGGAACATCAACATAAATGTACTTAGACAAACCTAGATGGTACGGATCTTTCCATATGACCTTTTGATGGAATAAAGAGGCACAGTAAACATGAGCTATATGAGGCATCTGCCAGCATAACACAAACTTAAAAGGACCACATTTTAAGATAATGGTAAAAAATAATAGTATTACATTTTTTTGTACATAATTGTCCGCACTTACTTTTGTATGACTGGCAGCACAGTAGATTTATTTACCCAGACATCACTGTAAACCCGTAATACCTCACACCACAGCTGTGATGTCACTGGGTGCTAAGGATCTTTCAGCTCCATTATAATCTATGGGACTATCCTATATGCAATCTGCAGGTGATAGAAAAGTATTATACAGCATATGCCTGTTTCTGTTCTTACAGGATGCCACTGACTGGGGCCTTGTCAGCTTTCTTAGAGTCCTAGACCACTTTCATGCATTGGTGTTAATGCAAAGCTCATTATAATGCTGACATTTGTTTTCAAACAACTGTACTCTCTCTCCTAGCCCCAGTACCTCATTCTGTCAGGTTATTTTATGGAGTCTGATTTGCCCTGTGATGTTACTTAATAGTCCCTTGTATTTCCTATAAACTATTAGATCTACAGGCTTAAATAGTTCAGGGGGATTTTTATCTCACTTTGGAGTATAGCAACACTGTTTCATAGCAATGGTATTGGTATGTATTTCCCCTGGGGTGTGCAAGGTCTGTCTCACTTCCTGTGATGTTAGGATCCACTGATGAATCACTAGCTCCATCAGGCTTTGTAAAATGATGATATATTGTAGGTATTTCATTTCTTCCATCATTTTCACCTGGAATATACCTATTTAAAAAAAAAATTTCCAGAGTCAAGTGTGGTGGTGCACACCTGTAAATCCTAGCACTTGGGAGGCTGAGGCAGGGTGTTCACTGCAAATTTGAGATCTTCCCGGCTACAGTGAGTTCAAGGTCAGTTTGAACTACGTAGTCAAAAACCAAAAATATAGAAAACATTTCAAATCAGCATTTAGTTTTTCACAGGTAGTTTATGTCGGAAAGGAAATTGTTCCTTTTCCTTTACCTGCCTTAGAGTCGGTTGATGATGTTCTTTTGCCTCTGGAAACCTTATGAGCTGACTTAAGCAAATTTGATGTTTTATTCCATTATTATCCACGTTGTGCTCAGGTTGTCCCATCTTTGGCCAGTGGAGGCTTCTGCAGTCTGACTCCTGAGATTTCTTGTAATTATTCAAGTATTTAATAGCTTCCTTGCATTCTCATGTATGTTCCAGTCACATCTGGTATATTTATCCCCCAGACCTGGAATCAGTCATTTCCATGAAGTCTTTTAATAGTATATGATATTTTTATACTATTGACTGGGCACTATTCATGGTTATTACTACCAGGTTGGTTAGTGTCAGTTGGCAGCACTAAGGGAGAAATTTATTTTTGAAGATTTAGATACACCACAGCTTTTTATTTAAATTTAATTGAGTTGTACCTTTTCTTTCATGTTGGAAATCTTCTTGAGACAAGCATAATTCTTGCAGTCCCAGAAGATGATATAACCTAGAATAATGAGATTTTATTGGGCACTTTCACTGTAGTTCTTTTTGTCTTTGTGGTTATCCCTCCATGTAGTCACATAACTGTGTTACAAAGTCAATTGGAAATGGGCTTCAGGACAGGGTGGGGAGGGAAATGTAATCAGTATTTCTAGTTGACTGTAAAGCCTGTGCCCATCACTGAGCCATCCATCTTCTTTACAGCTGGAAAGAGTCCCATCACCTGATCATCGCCGGAGAAGCTACCGAGACTTGGACAAGCCCCGTCGCTCTCCCACACTACGCTACAGGAGGAGCAGGAGTAGGTCTCCCAGAAGGTAAGGCGCTAGTACTTATATTTTGAGTATTATAGCGTAGGAGTTTGGATTTCAGGGAAGGAAAAATGACAGCAATGTCTGCTCAGTGTATTAGTTACCTATTGCTGCAAAACCACCACACGTTGTTGTCACTAGCAGACAACAAAAACATTCCTTTAGTTCACAAGTATGTGGTCAGTGATTTAAGCCAGACTTTGTATGCAGTGTTTGGAGTATCTATGCTTGCTGACCTTTTACCTTTTACTGGCTGGCACAAGCTGGCCTTGGTAAGGATAGCTTAGAATACATAAGTCATTCAAGCAAATGTTTTCCCAGTATATGCTTGTGTCATATTTGCAAATATACTACTGGCTGAAGCAAGTCACTTGAGTAATCCCTGCATTAAAATAAGGAAGGTATGGGCTAGGGATTTAGCTCAGTGATTCTGTCACCTGCCTTGCAAGCACAAGGGCCTGCATTCGATCCCCATACCCCCTCCACCAAAAATAGGAAAGGTACTATAAAGTTACATGACAAAGGACATGGATACAGAGAAAGGTAAGATAGAATCAGGACCAATGGATTCATCCCCAGCCCATCCCACCGCCCCAAGGAATTGGGGCCAATTTTGCAATCTGCAACATCCAGTACACTAACCTTTTCCTTACTTTTTTCTGCAGGCGGAGTCGATCTCCCAAAAGAAGAAGGTAGGCCTTCACTCATTTCTCATGGAGATTGGGGAACGAGTGGTACTACTGGGTCTGTATTACCAAACAGACCTGGCAAGCTGATCAGTCTTTTCCATAGTCCTTCACCCCGCAGAGAAAGGCATCGGAGCAAGAGCCCAAGACGCCACAGAAGCAGGTCCCGAGATCGACGACACAGATCCCGCTCCAAGTCCCCAGGTATAGCATTTGGGCTGTCGTTACTGATTGTCTTAACAAATCTGAGGAGGAGTTACCCTTACACAGTACAATACAGAAGTACCTAACCTTGTTGCCTCTCAGAAAAGGAAATGGGATATAGAATTTGAAAATTAGCTTACTAGCTAGACATGGTAGCACACCTCTGTAATCTAGCACTAGGCTGAGGCAGGACTTCAAAGCCCAGCCTGGGAAACTTAGCAATTTGATGAAACTCTGTCCAAAATAAAAAAGAGATGTAGCTCAAATGAAAAAGCCCTAGGTTCCATCCCCCAGTACCACCAAAACAGAAAGAAAAACGAGACTCAAATCTTGACTTCCAAGTTTTGCTTGTATGGTGGGCTTCAGTATTTTCATCTGAAATTATTGGAATAAGGCCTGCAGGGTGGTAAAAATCCAATGTGATGTTTATGAAATTAGCCGTAATGCTCTCAGTGCTTTTGGTTTCATTACTACTTTCCCTGCCACATACACACCATTTGGAGAGGTGCTGCCAACAAGAGATGTTCCCAGCATAAGCTACATAAGTAATAAACCAGTGGGTGGAATTAGGGGAAGTGTGAATGACAGTTCAGGATATGTAAGAGGGAGAATCTGACTCATCCAGTGTCCTTTTCTTTCATAGGTCATCACCGTAGTCACAGACACAGGAGCCACTCAAAGTCTCCTGATAGGTAAATGTTGACCTCTATTTTAACAAAAATATAAATCTTTGTTCGGAAATTAAAATCTCAAGTTAGGCATGGGGGCACACGCCTATATCTGGGGAGGCTGAGACAGGATGATAGCTGTTGGTTTTAAGACCAGCCTGGGCTACACAGTGAGTTTAAGTCAGCCTGAACTGCATAGTGTCAAAAAACCAAACCAAATAAAAACAATGGAAACCAAAGTCTTAGTTACAACAAAGTTGGGCCTGCCTGACATCTTGTTTTGATGAGTGTAAAGGCAATGGGAATTCTCATTTATTTTAAGATGATAGTGGCCTCTTACCCTGAGAATTACTAAGAGTCTCTTTTGCATTCTTTTTTTCCTTTGTGACTTTGGATAATAATGGTTGAACTGTGGTCTCACAAGATCTGCTAGTGTTTTTTTCTTTCTTACGGTAGGGCTTTTTTTTTTTTTAAGTTGGGTTGGTTTTAGTTGTTTTGGGTGCTGAGGACTGAACCCTAGGGCCTCACGCTTTCTAGGCAAGCACCCTGCCACTAAGCTAAACACCTAACCTGTACCTGGGTTTTAAGTACCAAGTTTTAAAATGTAACATTTTAACATCTTTCATTAGAAATCCCTATTATTTGATTTCATTAGAAATCAAAAGCGCTATTAAGTTTTTGAGAGGTGTTTTCCTCACTGGTTATATTGACTTAATGCCGATTTACAATACTCCTGAGATGGGGGCGCCTAAATCATCAAGCACTTTAAATGACTATTAAGTGTCAGTTCCACACTCATAAGTGTCCCCATATCATAGTGTTTCTCAAAAGTCCTTACTTGCTCCTTAATTTAATGATTTATGTATTTTCTATTTCAGGTCAAAGAAAAGCCATAAGAAGAGCCGAAGAGGGAATGAGTAATGAATTCAATTTGGTTTTAGTCCAAATGGCCGCCTGTGGATATAAGGGTATCTATGTGGAAAAAGGATCAAGAGCTGCTCTTCTGGCAGCTGTAATATTTTTTTTCTTGTTCTTTTTTTTTTAAGAAGAGGTGCTGAATTTTATTTCCTAAGGTCAGTTTTTAACCCAGTCAGCTACAACTATATTTAAAATTACGAAGGTAGAAAGGATCTGGGAATTGGGGATGTGAGAAAAGATTTGGCCATACTAGTGACCCTTTGCCTTTTTGTTATTAAACCTGAGACACCTATTTGTCACTTTTCTGTAGTTTAATTTTTGGTTTGCTGGGACCTACTTTTGAGAATCCTGGGGTTTGTGCTACTATTTATCAAAGAAATCAGTAAAACATAGTAATTTGTAACTTTTTTCAAACAACAGAAAGTGGTAATAAATATGAAAACTGGCTGGTTAGCAGCAGTTTTACCAGAATAGAATGCATTCAAACATAAGGATTTCTCTGGATTACTTAATCCAGTTCATCCAATATCAACAGACAGTACTTAATACCCTTCACACACAGCATATTCTTGTATAGCACCATTTATTTTTCTCCACAAACCTTGAAATCCACATTCAGATGCTTAGCTTTTAAGTGCTGACGTTACTCAAGGCTTGTCAGTAGCAGTAAGGCAGCAGGACAAAAAATTTTAATGGAGGGTCAAGCATGGTGACACATGGCTGTAATCCCAGCACTTGGGATGGTGAGGCAGGAGGACCACCATGACTGAGGCCAGCCTGGGCTACACAGATCAAGGCCAGTTTGAACTACATAGTGAGACCCTGTCTCAAAAAACCACACACACACACACAAATTTTCATGGAGAGCCAAGTATCTTAATGCTAATCATGATTTTGTCCCAAAATGCCAGACAATAGATCTAGTCACAAAAATATAGTACAGTAGGAAGACAGCTTTTAGAGGGGCAGAGAACAAAAGGGTCAAGGCAGTGATGAAAACAGTGCATTCACTTTAAAGTTTCTTTTGAGACACTGATGATGTATGGTATAGCTACGTAAATCCCAGATGGTTTGAAATAGAGGCTAGAGTTCAGCATAGTGATCTAGACCAGGGCTGTTAATGTGTCAGTGATTGTGAAAGATGTTGATAAGAATGCCCAGGGAGTATGTGTACATAGATACAAGTAGAACGTAAGGGTAGCACCATAGGCATCACTAGCACTGGTGACAAGTACAAGTCACCTATTCAGACTAGAATGCACTAAAGCAAATTAGGCAAGAATAAGTCAAAGAAGCCAAGAGTCTAAGGACACAAAAGCAATATAAGTACTTCTAAAAGTCCCTATGGGCACTGATAAAACTATTAGGATGTTTGCTAGAAAAATTGCTTTCAACTGTCCTCTTAAGAAGGGGGAAATGATTGAATGACTTCCTACAACTAGTCCCAGAAGGAACTGCGAAGACCTGCAGCCTTATAAGATCCAGGTTTTCTAGAGATATATCTGGCCATAAGATAAACATTTCTATTGCTTACTACTGAACTGAAGAACTTTTGTAGCAATATTAAAGCATTGTTTTTAAAAATCTTATTTGAGTTTTCATATTCTTCAGCACGTCTCCTAATACCAGCATTAATAAAGTTATATGTATGACTCACAATACACTTTGAGACTTTTAAAATTAAATGCAAGCATCTCTGTTTAAGTCTGTTACAGACTCCTAGAATTTCTTTATTAAGGTTATGTAAATGGAAGGAAATATCTTTGGCTAAATGACCCATGAACCAGTAAGTCATCAGTATGTTGTTAAAGTAAAAATTCAATATTAAAATATATTTTAAAGTAAAAAACCCACAACAAAAAAGATAGCTCAAACATAGAATTCAAAACATATTTAGACATGGTAAAAACTGGACCAAAAAGCCAGGCATGGTGGTACATACCTAGCTAGCACTCAGAAGGCTGAGGCAGGAGGCCCCAAGTCTGAAGTCAGCCTAGACTACACAGTGAGTTCAAGGCCAACCGAACTACATAGCAAGACACTGTCTCAAAGGGTTTAAAAAAAAAAAACCTTAAAACCTGTGGGCTAAAAATGGGACAGCATGACCAACCTATAGCAGGAGGCATAGTGGCCTTATTCTTTAATTAGAACAAAGCCACCACATGTGGTGGCACACACCTGTAGTCCTAGTCCTCAGTCATGTGTAGTGGTGCACATCTGTAGTCCTACTATTCAGGCTGAGACAGGAGGGTCATAAATTTGAGGCCACCTGGATTACCCAGTTCAAGGCCACCCTGAGCTCTTCACAGCAAGACCTTGTCTCAAAAAACCCCACAAAAAGTCTACTTAAGTAACGGCCATGTTAAGTATCTCCTGAGATAATTGCTAAATGACAAATTTGGTGAAGGACCATTTCTGACATTGTACACATGTATATGTATGTTATACTGAAACAAACTTTAGGAAAGAACTTATGCAAATTACATTAGGATCTTTCATTGTTTAAAAGAACTGCCCTAGGTGACACATGAATGCTGAGGACAAATAAATGGAGGTGTGTAGTCAGAGGAAATACTGAGTTTTATGAGAGGGTTTCAATATAAAAACTTGAAGTTCATTCTTTTAACCTGTCTGTTATTCAGCAGACTAACCTGACTATGCATTAATCAGAAAGAATAATCACACATGGATGCCCAGTCATTCCCTATACTCCACACTTGACTAAAAAGTAGATTTGTGGAGCTTGGTGGGCATGGTGGCACACACCTGTAATCCCAGCACTCAAGAGGCTTAGGAGGACCATCATGAATTCCAGCCAGGACTACATAGTGACACCCCGTCTCAAAGAAAGATTGGTGGAGCTTAAATAACTGAAGAAAAGAAAGCATTATTACAAACCACAACATAGCCAGGTATGGTGGTACGCATAACCCAGCTATATGGGAGGCTTGAGGCAGGATCCCTTAAGTCCAGGAGTTCAAACCCATCCTGGGCAACAGCTTAAGACTTAAAAACTGCCGAGCCTGGTGGCAGAACCCTACAATCCCAGCACACAGGAGGCTAAGGCAGGAGGATCATGAGTTCAGAGCCAACCTGAACAACAGAAGACCCTGTCTCAAAATCCATGCATAGAAAATAAAAGATGGCAGAGAAAATTAGCTGGAGGAAATTTTAAAGACGAGCTATAGCTCAATGGGACCACATCGCTGGGTTTGTTCCCCAGTACTGACCGGGGAAAAACAGGAAGGGCATTGGAAATAAACTCAGAAACCATATGTATCCAGCAATCTCAAGAAATAATCTTGGTGAACTCAAACAGTACATGCAAACTGAAGTAAAGAAACCACATCATACTAGGCAAGATGAGATGGTCTCACATTTTATAATCAGCTAATGGAAAGCAGTAAAACAAAAGGCTCCAAAAGTCTGTGTTGGGACTTTTATATTTTATCAAAATTTTCTTTATAAAGGAACTAGATATTTTCAAGTATGCCTTTAAAATACACAATCGTGAGCCTTGGGGGGAAAAAAACTGCCTGATAGTAAAATTTAGACAAATAAGGTAAATCAAATTAAAGACTTAGGAAGACAGCAGCAGTAAAAAGAAACACTTGAGAAACTTTAAATAAATGATTACAAGGTTCAAATTAAGTATCATGAACATTATCCATTACAGAGAAATAAACACAGAAGAAAAATCAAGCATGCTGGATTCATCTTTCATAGGAGGACCCAGGTAGTCTAATTAAAACATGAAACAAGAAAAATAACACCAGTTTTTTCAGTGTTTCCCTTAACTGTCGTTAATTTTTGGAGGAATCTTTTATTAGACTGTCTTGGAAAAAATAAATTTATGTCAAGCACTTCAATCCCTATTTTCTTAAATTCAGGTGAAATTAACTTACCTTCTCAAACATACCATGAGTCCACTTTTACACAATTTTTTGTGAAACAGACACAGTGGCACACACCTGTAATTCCATTACTCTGGGAGGCTAAGGCAGGTGGGTTGAGAGTTTAAGCTAGGGCTGAGAATTTTATGGAGACCCTGTCTCAGAGTTTTAAAAGGGCTTGCGGAATATATAGCTCCCAGTGCAAAGGCCCTGTGTTCAATCCCCAGTACCTACCCCCAAAGAGTGTATATGTTTCTATTCTGAATAGCATTTATTTCTAATAGGCTTTTAAATAATTTTGATACTTTGTATTTATACCACACCTTTTGTCCATCAAACAAAAAAATTTTAACAAGAAAGTTACTTTAAAAGGAATTCAAATCTTTTACTTTAAAAGGAATTTAAATCTTTTTAAAAGCATACTAACCTACTTTGTGTTGCTTGTTAGAATTACAAAGTAATAACCACTTTTCTGGAAGGCAGTTAGCAATTTGTACTAGAAGCATTCAAATTTTGTCTTTTACTGAATAATCCCATTTTTAGGAATTCTCCCCAAGAGAAGGAACTATATCTCATTACATATAGGAACAAAGCAGCAAAATAAATATACATATAACAAAAAAAATCCATCTGAAAGGAATAAATTGCACAGTATTTTTTTGAATAATCTTAATAGCAAGGGAAAAATACAACTAAATCAAACATACAACATTTTAAAAAATTTAATCTTAAGAATTTTCCTGGATAATTTTATCCAGGCAGGTGTGGTGGCACACGCCTGTAATACCAGCACATTCTAGAAGGCTGAAGTAAGAGGATGACAAATCCAAACCTAGCCTAGGAACCTTAGTGACTAGTGTGAGACACCGTTTCAAAATTTTAAAAGGGTAGGGATGTAGCTCTGTTTCAAGGCTCTGGTGAGTACAAACCCCTGCATGGTGGGGGTGGAGGGCCTTTTCATTTGCTCTATAACACATCCTAATCTGTAAACTTAAAAAACCAAAAAGATTCTGGTTTTGAATTTGGCAAAGGATTCCCTGTTATTAAAACTAAGTATGGAAGAAAGGGCTGGTTATGGGTCATCAGATTACCCATTAATCCTTTGATGCCTAGTGTTGCATTTGTTGTTGTTTTGTTTTTTGAAACAGGGTCTCACCATAATTCAGGCCAACCTTGAACTCACTATGTATCCCAGGCTGGCCTTGAATTCTTGGAGAGCCTCCTACCTCAGCCTCCTGAGTGCTAGGATGACAAGTATGAGCTAACACACCTGGCATAGTGTTCCATTTTTGGAAAATTTTCTCTTCAAATTCAACCTTTATTTTTCTAGGTAGCATGAATTTTGTGCAATAATTTAAAAAATTGCACCCGTAGGCATACATGGATTCAGAGCTTTTTGCGTGGGGTATACTGAATTTGAGAAGGAAGGCTGAATAGAGAACAATTTTTGTTTCCACAGGTTTGATTTTTTTATTTTCCTAATGAAAATCTTAAATACATTCAAAAGTATGAAGAACAAGGGCCAGTGATTTAACTCAGTGGAGCTGCCACCTGCCTTGCAAGTGCAAGGACCCGAATTCAATCCCTGGTACCAAAAAAGAAAAAAATTGAATGAGCACAAAAGTATGAAGAATAGTAAAACACCCCTATACACCTCATCAACTATTTTCCACCATCTGAAAGGAGATGTAATATTTAAACATTAACACTGAACATAAAGAGGTTCAAAGGGAGGAACAAGTTATATCATGCAAGGGTACAAATTCCCTATGATGAATGTTGTTATGTATATTTAAAACAACCAATACATTTTTGCTTAAAAAAATACTGGACATAATTCAAAGACAATCATTTTTTTTTTTTTAATCTGTACTGGGGATCGAACTCAGGTTCCTGCACTTGCAAGGCAGGCGGAGGAACCACTGAGCTAAATCCCCAGCCTAAAGACAGTCTTGAATGCTCAAAGTCATACTTTCACACAAAAATATATGTGGGTCAGGTATCTATTTCTCATGAACAAAACAAAGGAGCTGACATCAGCACTAAGACTTTGAGGGCTACTGAGGCTTTAATATGAAAAACACTAAATATATCTGATCTAAGTGTTGCAAATATGACATGAATTCCCTCAAACTTGCTTTGTTTTGTGGAATATTTCAAATATTCTTCATATTAGAAAACATGGGAGGAGTCTAGGGAGTCTCTCATTTAAGTAATGTTAAATCAGAACAAAGATAAATGCACTGGCCTTAAAATACATTTTTATCTAGTTACTCTACATTTCTGAATGGATCTATAGCTTCATGTGGCCTAAAATTCTTGGCAATCTAATTAAGAAGTTAAGAGAAACTACCTCACCTTAAGAGAAGGTTAAGAGAAATTACTATATGGTAGCAAAACAGCTAAAACATAGTTGCACCAACTCAGGTGTGAATTCTAGTAGTCAAGTACTTGGTAACAATGGCTTCATCAACAACCAATTTCATGATCCCATAAAATTATGGAGCTGAAAAATTTTGTATGTTACACACTTTACTGTTAAAGTGTTCTACTTACAAAACAAGTGTACTATAGAAGAGTATGTTGTGTTTCCTCGCAGCAACCTCACACATCTGCCTTTTACTACATGTTCTGATAGCATCCAGAAGTTCAGTGACTACAATGGTAATGTTTGCATGATAATGAAATCACCCAATGATACATTGCTTAAGACATATTCCATCCCTAAGCGGGGTTTTTGTACTTTGGGTTTGTTTTTTTTTTTTGAGACAGAGGGTCTCACTGTGTAGCTCAAGTTGGCCTTGAACACAATCTTCCTGCCTCAGCCTCCTGAGTGCTGGATTTACAGGTGTGGTGCCATTATGCCTGGCACAGAATCATAACTCTACAGTCACTAACCTCAGGCATTTTTAGTAAACAGCAATTACCATCCTGGTAAGTGTGCTTTCCAGTTTGTAATACAGGGCTCAGAGTGGACAGAGCCTAACACATCCTAGTTCCTTAATAAATAAAACTTGTCTTGTCTCCACTCTTAACTGCCAGCATTATTAGTCTCCAGGTTTAAAAAAAACTCCTAAGATTTTTCTTGATTCATATTTGATGTAAATATGCTACCCCTGGGATTCATTTTACTTTTTTGCCCTGAAATTTTCATTTTCAATATTAAAACTAGAGTTGACATCTGCATGTATCAACTTCATTATAGTTGTGAAAACCCAATAAAAATAAAGGACATTAAAAGATCCTTGAATCTGTAAAAGTAAGTCTAACTTAGAATGCTACATTTGCTGAAAGTAAAATCTGTAAGTCATTATATTTTCATCATCTAAACTAGATGAATTAACCAAATTTGACTCTTGTAAAAAAGATTTATTAACTTAAAATAGAACTGCAAATACAGGCAAAAGCAACTTTCTGTTCACGTTTGAGTATGTTCAATATACAAGTATGTAAAAAAAATTTTTGAATCTTCATGTTGTTTTATTTTATTTTTTTACCTTTTAAAAAGTTTTTGGCACTACAAGGTTCTGTAAAGAATAGAAGTGACAAATTTAAAACACATGAAATTCTTTCCTAATTCTCAAGAACAATATATATAAAGTCTGAAGCAACCAAAGTATGAATACAGCTAATAGAAAATAAAGAATGTAATTTTTAAATTCTCTCTTTATACAATTCATCAAGGTTAAACAAAACATAAAATTCCCTTAAAAATAGGGTAATAAAATAGATGAAATTTGTATCACTCAATTTAGTGATACTAGTAAAAACTATACTTCATATTTATATACAAATAATACAGTGTTTAAAAACAGTCTTAGAATTTAAATAAGCTATCTAAACGTGTTAAAATTTTAAATCAAGACCTGATTTGTTTTGCTTTCCATTTAATGTCACTTTTTCTGCTGAATGTAACTGACATTGAGGTACGGATACCCTTGAGACAGCAGGATTGGCTGGTTGCTGTGGATCGGTAGACCAGCTGAAAGAAAATGGACTCGCATTACTCCGACACGTTTCCTCTTGGTGGGTGGGGACAACGCTCTCTACACCAACGGGCGGCACATCTGTCTGTTGGATATAACACAGACAGGAAACTGAGAGGCTTCTGCCTATTTATCTGAATCCCTTTAGAATTAACTTGTAGCTAGTTCTCTTATTTTCTATTTATATAACAGGAGGAGATGAAACGTCAAAATATTAGAGGGGAAAGAGATGAAGAAAAATGTGAAGAGCAAAAAAAAAAAAAAGAAGAGACAGATGAAGGAGAAAGATCACAGGAAGAAACCTTCCATGGAAGAATTCAGACTTTACTCTCCTAAAAGAATTTGTACAACTGGTAATAACTTCTAGAAGCCAACATCAGTCAAGGTTATGCTATTCTGTAATACAGAGGTATCCAGGAGTACGTGGATAGTTTAAGAAGGCTTGATTGTATTAAGCCTGAAGCTTATAAAAGGGCACTCCCCTTAAAGTTAACACTTCATTCATTCAACACTTCCTGAGTGTGTGCCCTCAGTATCGTGCACTCCTGGTTGATCTATAATGATCTGACTCCACTGTTTTTTAACTCCTGAGTTAAATGAACTAAAGGCCACTTCTAACATCACCTGTTGAAACAGATGCTCTTAAGGCAAGGAAGGTTAGAAAAAAATGCTCCTAGTTCCTTGAAATTCTTAATTTTTAGTGTTCATTACCCATGTCAAAGCAGTTACTGGTACACTACAGGACCAGCAGAATATAATAAATGCTAATTTCATTCAATGAATGACAAATCTTACTTTTACTAAACAAATCTTATCATACCTCTATTTGATGTAAAACCTTCTAGCATATCCTTTTTGCTTTCTAAATCAAGTCCAAAGTCCTTCATATTATGTATGGCCTCAGCCTACCATTTCTAGCATTCTTATGTATACATCTTTCCCAGAGACCTCCATCCTGTATTCCTACTATTTTCTCTTCTTCTTCCTTATACCAAGCTAAAACTCAGTGACTTTGTACATATTAGAATACTCTTCCTTCCCTCTAATTTCTCAGGGGAAAAAATTCCTGCATTAATTTCAACATCTAGTTCAAATATCAAAATCTTGTATGATGTAATCTCTCAAAACCAAATACTGCTTGTTCTGCTAGGGCAATGTTAACTAATTCCACTAAATTTCTATTTTGCTCTCTTAATAAAATGTGCATTAAGACTGGAAATTTTGTTTCACACTTACTTGAGCAATTAGCATCTAGTATGCTCTCAATAAATGTTTACTTGAATTCATGAATTTTCATTCCCAGATCCTGGCCTTCACTGAGGCTCCATGTTCCCAAATATTACCCATCCAGCCTAACCTGTTAACTAATTTGTAAGCAATAGTACCTTGAGTATAGAAAGGTTTGTTGGGCTGAAATCTTGTGTTTCCCTGATGCATGAAGTTTTGATGCAAACCATAAGGCCACGAAGCTGGGACAAGGGGGAAATGGGGACGCGGTGCATGTTCCCAAGGAATTGGAGGATTGAGTCCTCGAAAGCCTGGCTCTGCATTTCAAGAAAAAAAGAAAAACACATTTTAATATATTAGTCTATTCATTCAAATATTCCTTCATTCCACAAAAATATACTAACTACATAACACTGGCTATGAACTATGCTAAATCCAGATAACAAAAAATTGGTTTTAAAGAATTAAGCACTGTACCCCCCACAAATGCGTGCATGTACACACACACACACATACACACACACACAAAGAGAAAGGGGTGAAGCAAACATTGTTATTTGCTTAGTTTATTCAGAAGATATATATATATATAAAAACTGCTATACCAGATAGGCAAAATGTGTTCTATGACAGGAGCTAACCCAGACTGTGAAGGTAAGAGCAGGTTTTCTTATGATCTAAGCAATGTTGTAAAGAACACGTTAGTACATGGCCGGGGATTCAGCTCAGTAGCAATGCATCTGCCTCGCAAGTCTAAGGTCCTGAGTTCAATCCCCAGTGAAAGAAAGAAAGGGAAGGAAGGAAGGAAAGAAGGGGAGGGAGGGAAGAAGGAAGGAAGGAAAAGAAAGAAGTTAGGCAAAATGGGGTACGGGGAGGGTAGACAGAGAGAACAACATATACAAAAGCCTAAAAGCAGGAAAGTGCAACAAGTTTGAGAGCCACAAAACAACAAAAGTGTGACAGTGGACAGCTGAAGTAATGGAGGTGATATTCCAGACAGGGAGAACCACTTAGATCAATAATCAGGGGGAAGATAAAGTAACATGATAAGACAAAAGGCCAAATAGGTAGGTGGGGATATATTGAAAGAACCTTAATACATCATATGCTAAAGAACCTACATGTTATCCTTAAACAATGCCAATTATCCCAGAATTAATTATATCTTGGGCCTGAAAGTAGATTCTATTTACAAACTTGAGCAACTGTAGTGTAATATTTGAAAGCTTAAGCTTACAAAAGTTAAAAGTTGGGATCAAACAGGTAAAAGTTCAAATCATAGTTCTAAAAATTACAAAGGCTCCACTTGAACCTCACATTGTTACTGGCTTTTACAAGTTCTGGCATACTGGTAGGAATTCAAGCACCACCAAAATCAATCAATCTCTCTCTCCTCTCTCCCTCCATCTTTCTCTAAGATGTATCTATAATGCAGGTAGTATTTTATTCAAAGCAAACTACCTATTGAGTCTTCTGGATTGTTTCCGGTGGCTTTTCTTGTTCAAGGTCACAATGTGCTAAGAAATAACTGAAAGATTCTGCCCATATTTACTAATCTTTCTAGAAGGAACTCAAATTAGGAAGTATGCAATAACAGAGTAGGGAGGAAGACAACTAGTGAACCCCAACTGGCTTCATTCTTACAAGCTCAGTCTTCTCAGGGGTAATCAGGAAGATAAAGTGCCTGTTCACTCTAAGTTCGTAAAGCCATGTCACAGCTAAGGATTGAAACAAAAGAGCTCAAAGTTTACAAAATAAATGAGCTGGGTATACAGATTTAAATTATGACCAACTGAGAAAATGCTTTAACACAAAAACAATAATTTGTAAGGATACAGCTCAATGTATCTTGCCCATTTTTCACAACCAAATATTTTCATAATACAAGTAATATAATCTCACTAGAGATACGTTTAAAAATGGGGGGATTTTAGCAAATCTTGTTATCCAAAATAAAATCATAATTATTGTTCTAATATATTCCCACCTAGTACTTCCTTTTTTTTCTTTTTAAACTAGGGATTAGCCTAGGACCTTCCCACTAAACTACATTCCCACCTCTATTTTGCAACAGGGTCTCAACTAAGTTGGTAAATTAACAAGGTGGGCTCACAACTACGATGTGCCTTAGCCTGCCTTACCCTCTCAGCGTGCTGGGATCATAGGCCTATGCCACCATGCCTGGCCAGTCCTTCTATTTTTAACACAGCAGTAATTTGAGCTTTAATATTAATTCTGAGTTGTGTACCCATACAACAAATATTAATAGTTTATCATATACTAAATATGTAACATGAAAAATGTATCTACCATATAAGGTGCACTAAACTAGCTACTGGAAAGACAGTGATAGATAAAACACAATTCTTGGCCTCTATTATAAAGTTCATTCTAATGTGCTATGCAGAAAAGTAAACAAGTAATATCACCTTAGTAAAAAAGTGCTATGAAATGGATTTTAAGGAAACAAGGAGACAAAAGGGGATCAAGAAGACACATCTTGAAAGTGACATAACTTAAAAAAGCAGGATGAGTGAGTCTGTCAAGCTTCAGGACAAGGGAGAAAAAGTGTGAGAGTAGACAGCTGAAGTAATAGAGATGATATTCCAAGCAGGGGGAATCACTCAGATAAACAATCAGGGGTAAGACACAGTAAGGTATATTTGTGGGACATTTTGTTAATCAATTCCTTATCACTGAAATATAGATCAACTAGGGGCAGATAGAGAGCAGAACTGATATGAACTTAGTTAAATGAATTTAGAAAAATTTAGTTAAGCTAGGCGTGGTTGCACACGCCTGTAATCCCAGCATTCGGGAGGCTGAGGCAGGAGGATTGCTGTGAGTTCGAGACCAGCCTGGGCTACAGAGTGAGTTCCAGGTCAGCCTCAACTACATAGTGAGACCCTGTCTCAAAAAAATCAAAAAAGAAAAAAAAAAAAAAAAGAAAGAAAGAAAGAAAGAAAAATTTAGTTAATATATCAAGGGTAAAATACCAGTTTTTTATATATTCATCTTCATGGATATGTAAGTCAGTGACTACTATGGTAATTAAAAAATAATCCCTAAAATTTCTTGAAAATTGATAAAGGGACAGGATCAAACATTAAGCCCTCGTTTCCTGTACAAATTGTATTTTAGGGTAATTAAAAGGTTAATAAAGGAAAAGCTCTTCACAGAAGACTCATAAAGAACAAATACAAAATCACTTTACAAATCCTAGTGAAATAATGGCAACAATTATCAATGGCAATTAAGAACATTCAATAAAACTTAATGAGGAACTTTATAACAGATAAAGTCAACACCCCCTAACTCACAAATCAACTTAAGTCACTAACATAGGAACAACCAGAAACTTCCTTCAAAAGTGAGGGATCAGAAAATTTATAAGATCATCCAAGAGGTACTCTTGCTCTCAAAGAAGAATCTATTAGAGTTAATGAAGTGTCTGAATTAAATTATGCCAAAAAGATAATATAGGACAACTTTATAATGTGAGAAAATCTAGTTTCTTCAACAAATACTTCATATAGAGAAATATAAGGGAACAGTTATAAATTGAAGGATATTATGAGACATAAAAACTACATAATACATTTGGGCTTTTATCTGAGTTCTAATTCAGAAAACAAAAACCAAGATACTTTTCTTCTTAGACAAATGGAAAAATGAACAAGAAGGGAGTAACAGCCAGGCGTGGTGGCACACTCCTGTAATCCCAGCACTTGGGAGGCTGAGGCAGGAGGACTGCTGTGAGTTCGAGACCAGCCTGGGGCTACATAGTGAGTTCCAGGTCAGTCTCAACCACAGAGTGAGACCCTGTTTTAAAAAAACAAAAAAAAAACAAAAAAAAAAAAAAAGAAGAAGGGGTTAACAGATGATACTGGGTACAGATCTTATGATTTTTAAGAGACACAAACAAAAGCTTTTATAAAATGATGGTAACAGGACGAGGGATTTGGCTCAGTTGTTCTGCCGCCTGCCTTGCAAGTGCAAGGGCCTGAGTTTGACCTCCCGTTCAAAAAAAAAGAAGTGGTGGTAACATGTCAGACAAAAAAAACAGTAAACTGTTAATAACTGTTAATTAGTGGGGTTCATCATACTTTACTCTCCTTTTGTGCATGATTTAAGCTCTCCATAAAAATATTTATAACTAAAAAGCTGAATATAAACAGCAAATATGGCAATGTCAACTTCTTTTTTAAACAGGTATAAATAACACAATAAAAATATTACTTAGTACTTAGGTCTAGGAACTGAGATTATAAATGATTATTTTTCAAATACTCTGTAGTGAACACATATTAAATATCTGAAATTTTAAAAATGCTACTAGTTATTAATATATTGCTTACTAAAGAACTGCTGTAGAGGCTTTTAGAGCACAAAGCACAGGTTTTGCAGAAAAAAAGTTTATCTCTTCAATCTATCATGATTATGACAATACAGTAGTTAACCTTCAACTCATCAACTGTAAAATGAGCACCAATAATACTACACCAAGCGACAGTGAAAATTAAAAAATAAAATTATAGCTAATATTAATGTGTATTACTTCATTCAATATTCACAATATCCCTGGGTTAGATGCTATTAATATCTTTTTTACAGATGAAACCAACATACAAAGTGATTAAGTAACTATTCAAGATCTCATAATAAATGGCAAAGTTAGCATTCAAATCGTGGCATCTGATCCCAGGTCCCATACTGTTTACTTTTAGCTACTCTAGTCCTACACTGTATCTCCATAAATATTGCTTGCCTTTTTTTTCACATTATTTCCCCAGTTTAAACCAATAATTCCAATCAGCCAACCTTTCTACAAACAGACAGATACAGAAGAAGAAAAGGAAGAGTTACCCGAACTCCCCATTGCACCGTTGTTCACCAGAGAGTTTGGAGCCACAGTTCGAGGCCAGTGTCCATCATGAGAGGAGCTAGGGATCGCCATGGGTCTAGCAGCAGGCTGTGCAAAGATGATGCTGGGATCATTCAGGCCAATACTGCTGGGAGCACTGCCTGGTGCAGAGTGGATTACTGGGCCATGAATGGGCCAAGATGGTGCAGGGATCTGGAGCGGGTGCATTGGCAACAATCCCATATTGTGCATGGGAGAATACTGAGCTGGCGGTGACTGGGGAAAGTTATACAGAGGCATCTGGACTTGATGGGACGCCTGGGCTCCCTGCTGAGATGGGCCAAGCTTAGGTTGGGATCCTGACTGAGATGGAGGCTGGGTAACAGCAGCTGATTGGGAAGAGTTCTGTGGAAATGGCTGGGGTTGAGGAGAATAAGATGGTGAATCAGACTGCAGAGAAAAAAAGGACACATTTGAAAATTAACTCACAAACATCTTGATTTAATAAATGTAAAGTTTACCAGAATACAAAATTATGACGTTATTTCATTAGAAAATCATATACAGAACTACAGGATATGTAGAATTATTACAGAATTTAATTTTATATGAAGGTAATTATTTTTCAAACGCTTTCTCATAAGGCAGTGCTCCATAAACCTTTTAATCATCCAAAGACAAGACAGCCTAGGCAACATTCCCACATGGACAACATGTATCTCTCACTGTGAACTAGTTGCTTATAAATAACTCAGTTACTTTCTTTCAATACACTGGGTAATACTCTAGGTACTAAAAATACTAACACTAATGCCTTCATGGACTTTTTATTAGGGAAAAGCAGGGAGGGAACAGAAAATGATTACATAAACAATCACAATAAAGTATAATTATTACTATGATAAAGAATATATAATGTATAACATATAATGAAATCCCAAAGCAGGAATATCTGAACCACTTTGGGAAAAGTCAGGAAGAAAAGAATAAGTGGAGATTAATGAAGACTTTCTGGGAAGAGGATCAAGAGATCTTTAAACTTAAGACTCAAGGGTAAACACAAACCAATCTGATAAAAGACTACAAAGATATGGGGAAGGGAAAAGTGCAGGCAGAGGGATTAACACAATTAAAGGTATAAAGGCATGAAAATGTAATTTTTTAAAGTAAGTGGAGCCGGGTATTTAGCTCAGTGGCGCATGCCTAACTCACAATCGCAAGCAAGGTCCTAAATTTGATCCCTGGTACCACCAAAAAAACCAAAGAACATAATGAAAAAATGAATAAAGTGAGAGGAGCCAGGATTGTAGCTCAGCAGCACAGCACCTTCCTGGCAAGCTCAAGGTCCTGAGTTCAATTCCCAGTACCAAAAAAAAAATAAATAAATAAAGTATGTGGAATTTGAAAGAAGCTTAATACTATTGTATTACAAGAAAAGGGGAATGGCACATCTGAGGCTCCAGAACTAAAGAGGGGCAAGATAATGAAGAGTTCTTATAACACTTGTAATTTACACTGAGGGAAGTGGGCAACCACTAAAGGATTGTAGTCAGGTGGGAATACAATCAATCTACATCTTAGAAAAATTATTTTTATTTAATAAGAATGAGATAGAGACACTTGAGGCTACAATGTTAAGTGAAATTAATCAGACACACAAGTTTACATATCATATAGTTCCTTACATGAGAAACCCAGAATAAAAATAAAGAGCAAAATAAAAGACAGATAAGACAAAATAGGAAGATAGGTCATTTTCAATGGAGAAGGGGATCAAGATATGGAGGGAAAGGAAAGAGAGGGAAGGGATAAGGAATGAAAAAAGGAACTGGGATGTTATGTGCAACTCTACAAAATGTAAACATTATGTGCTGCAAACATGTACCAAAAAAAAGGAAAGAGGATAAGAGATGGAGGAAGAGAAAGGAAGGAAGGGAAAAAGGAAGGAAAAATGTGTTATGTCATATACCAACTTCCCACAAGGAATGTAAACATTGAGTACTACACACATGTACTAACAAACTAAAATGAAATTTTAAAAATGAAAATAAAAATAAATAGAGAATATTGAGAAGAAAAAAAAACAGACTGAAGAGAAGGATACTAATATATAATGCAGCAGTCCTGAGATGATGGTAGGCTAGGCCACAGAAAATAATAAAGGGACATAAATGTCTATGTATTTTTAAAAGGTACAATTTAACAATAGAATTGAATGACTGGATATGGACATTGAGAGAAAGGGAAAAGTTTCTGAAACTATACAGTGAGATAATGAGATGACAAACAAGAGGAAGACACAAATCTAGGAGTTGGGCATAAATATAAACTATATTCTACATATATTCACATTAAGGTTTCCTATACATCAGAATAGTGGTCTGCTTTACACATTCTTAGCTCAGGCAAGAAAAAAGTGAGCACAAGAAGAAGAGAACAAAACTCAAGGGGTGCCAAGCCTGGTGGTACATGCCTAAAATCCCAGCGCTTGGTACGGCTGAAGCAGGAAGATCACCAAGAGTTCGAGACCAGCCTGGGGTAGATAGTGAGTTCGGGGCCAGCCCAAACTACAAAGGGAGACCTTGCCTCAACCTTACATGGCCACTCGAGAGATTAAATTTGACCAATGTGAAGCACTGAAACACAGTGTCAAGTTGAGAGTAAGAACTCTATGCACAATAATTAATAAGTATAAGGTGAATACAGGTTCAGAAAAAGATCAAAAGCAGCAAAAGAATTAAGGATAAACCTTGTGTGTCTTAATTTTTACTTAATACTCCATTGTTTTACATGTCAGCTGGTATCCTTCTAACAAATGGTAAGACACAAAGTTTCATGCAGAAAAATCCCAAATATGTACCATACTACCATAACAACACTAAATAAAAGTTTTAATATGATTGTGTATATGAGCAAGTAAAAATAGGAGAAAACTCTAATATTGTAATAAATTACAAACTTACTAAGATTGTATCTTGGACTTTAAAGAAATAACGCAACGGATGAAGTCTCTCATCCCCCTCTAGTAGATCTGACCACTTTAGTAGATCAACTTTTAATAAAACCAACACATAATGATATAAATTAACTTTCTTTAACATTTTACATAAAAACATGTGCTTCTTCATTTTTCCCTCTCCTATATTTAGTCATTAGTAGTCTCTACAATGGAACATTAGGAAATTGAAGTTCAAGTCTGTTCAAACAGTAGTTCGTTCAGCAGTAAAAGAATTAAATGCGAAAAGCTGTACATTTCAATTTTTTGTGTTTTTATTAATACTTTTATTAAATGATACTTTTCTACTAAGCAAAGCATGTATTAGGTAGTTGTCATTTTATTTTATGAATGAGAAAGCAAGCTCACATAAATTACGTAGTTTGCCCACTGACAGAAATCCAGACATGATGGTACATGCCTGTAATCCTAGCACTCTGAAAGGCTGAGGACAATTCCAAGTTTCAGCCCAGGTTGGGCAACTTAGCAAAACTGTTTCAGAAGTATTTTTAAAGGGCAGCTGAAGATGCAGCTCAGTGTGAAGGCCCAGGGCTGAATTCCCAGGACCACCACCACAAAAAAAGATAAAAACCTAGATATACTTTATTCCAAAAGTAATGCTCAATGTACTTTATGAGCCTAAGCAAAGACACCCCTAAAAAGCACCATGAAATTCAAAAATTATATTTGCCAATCGAACAGATAAAATCCATAACATCCACTATGGACAGCACTATCTTCCTGTCAAGACTAACTCATTCACACATAAAGTACTTACACATTCTGAAGACTGTCTAGTCCTTATAGACTGATCGCCCTGTTGCTGGGCTGAACCAGCCACCTGTTGGGCATTTACAAGATTTCGGACAAGCTGGGCTGCTAAGAGAAGACATCATAAAGAAAATCAAAAGAGAAAGAAAGTAACAAAGAAATGGCAATTGATAATTAAGTAGGAGTCTCAAATTTCTCCAAGTTTTAAAATAAAATTAAGAGTTTTAAATTATTACTATATTAAATATGTGTAATAACTAACTCTTAAAGCCATTTTTCGATTCTTAGGTCAATTTATTTATTGTTTCCCCACCCTGGGTTTGACTGATTTTTTGCAGTGTTAGACTCCCATGGACTCTAGGTAACCACTCTACCACTGAGCTACTTCCCCAGCCCATATTAATTTAAAAAGCACATCAGGGGGCCAGGGATTTAGCTCAGTGGTTCCACTGCCTGCCCTCCAAGTGCTGCCTGCCTCCAAGCACAAGGTCCATCCTACGTTTGATCCCTGGTACCAAAAAAAAAGTCCATAAAAAGTGTATCAGGGCTAGGGATGTAGTTCTGAAGGACGACGAGTAATTAACATTTCTCAAAGTCCTAACTTCAATCCTCCACTCCCCCAAGTACACTATCTACAAAAACAAATACCTTACTGCTTTTGTAAAGGACATAACATATTTAAGAAAATACCTTCTACAATAAGAACCTGAAGAACTACATACAATTCACAACTTTAATAAAACAGTCTGACCCAAGCATGGTGGCACATGCCTGTAATCCCAGTACTCAGAAGGCTGAGGCAGGAGGAATGCTTATTTTGAGGTCAGTCTACGCTACAGAGTGAGTTCAAGGCCAGCCTGCCCAAAAAGTGAGACCTTGTCTCCAAAAAAAAAAAAAAATGGAGGACAGGGGATATAACTAAATGCTAGAGACCTTACCTAGCATGCATGAGATCCTGGGTTTGAACTCCAGCACTGCAATCAATCAATCAATCAATCAGGAGCCTGTTTTGAAACACACACACCCACACCTACACCCACAAAGTGCTGGCAACTAAACCCAGGCAGGGCCTCACACATGATAGGCAAGTGCTCTACCACCGAGCTATAGTCCATAACCCAAGTCTTTTTCAATGAACTTTCATTTGGGTCACTACTCAAATTCATAAAATTCTTTGTAATACACAAAAGGAACAGATCTCCCTTATTCATAATAGCAGGGAGAACATAATTTCTCATATGTAAGTGCAAGAAAAAGTCTCCCATAAAGAATACTATATTGACAGTGAGAAAAAGTGTCTGGCTCAAATCTGAATAATACTTTAGGGAGGTCAGCTGAATACAAAACTGTGGAGACTTTGACAGTGAACACATACAAGTACTGTTCAAACTAAAAAGTTTCAATGTGTAAATTTTAACACTTTTTAGGAAATTACTAGTAGGTTTAGAACAGAAGAATTAGGGTCGCTAGCATGATAGCAACATGTATGACTTTATTTCCACCAGAAACTATTTTTGGTGTTTTCTATTTACCTGCTACACTGCTATTCCTCTGACGGGCCAGCTTCACCTCTGGGCACTCCCTCCGTACATGTCCTGCATCTCCACATATAAAACACCTGAGGTCTCTGGGGTCTCTAAAGTCTCGAGTGTCATGGAGGTCCCGGGAGTCAAGAAGGTCTCGGGAGTCTTTATCTTCTTCATTCCCTTCTTTCTCTTCTTCACTGTCTTTCTTCTTTAATCTAAACAGTAAACTGCTGATACCAATAATGTGGGGCTAGGTACTTGTAAATTGAGCTTACTAACTCATAGAACACACTAAACTACACACAGAAGGGACTAACATGCTCATTTGTTTCATGCATTTGTTTGAAGACAAGGGAACTCACATTTCTAACATACCCACCCACATGGCAAAAATTAGGGATTGTATTAATTTTATAATACATTAAAATTTAATAGAAAACTTTAAGCCTGTAGAAATCTTTGGATATTCATATTTATTATCTCAACTTTAAAGAAACTAAAGCTTGGCAGATATAAGCATCATGCCTAAATTTAAAAGTTAATAAATAACAGTGATGGAAATTCAAAACATATTTTGTTTGAAAATTTCCAAAGTTTTATATTATGCCAGACTTGATGTAAGAAAAGATTTTCCTGGCCTACTGTAAATATAGATGTAGGACCCGGGAATGTGAATGTAAATATATTTTGAGTATATATTAATTATGTTACATAATATTTACATATACCTCTCAGTATATATTTCAAGAATTTAATCATATTTTAATTATTTGTTCACATGACTGTGAGGTCCTCAGCAAGAACTCCATGTAATAGCTATTTTTTCTTGGCTTCTAGCACATTTCACAAAATACAGTAAGTAACAGTTAAGTGCTTCAATTTTTTTAAAAGCTGAATTAACAAATCAATGAATATTCAAGACATCATTTATGCCACAAATAAATCTAATACTATTACAAAATTCCAGTAGATATTTATGTAAGGTCCAATTTTAAAGCCCTGAATTTCCTCACTTAATACATTTCTGAACAGAGTAACAGCTACAAATTGGCCTCCCATTTATATACAATCATTTGCCAACCTTTTCCTTTTAGGGCAGTCTTTCATGTAATGGCCTATTTTTCCACAAACACGGCAACACCGATCATTAGGAGCCAATTCTCCATCTGTTAATACTCTTGAATCAAAGAAGTACTCCTAGGGAGAAAGTACAGTTTTACCAGAAAAAAAAAAAAATCACTATAAAACTTTTGGATCCAAATGGAAAGATCAAGATGCAAAAGTTTTTCTTAAAGAAAAGATCATAAACATCAATAAATATTTCACTGTAATGAAACCATGTTATAAAAATAAGCTTCAGAATCATTACCATCCCAATTAATACTAAATACTTTACATCCACATTACACTATCCAGAGATGCTATAAATGAATAAGAAAATCTCAAAAAAATAGGTAAGATATTATTTTCATCCTCATTTTACAGATGACAACACTATAATTCAGATTTCAAGTCATTTGCCCATAATAAAAAAGCTGGGTAAGTCTCAAAGATTTAAAACTAAATCTGTTCTGACTACAAAGTTTCTGCTTTCTGCTATATCAGTCTACTTCTGGAAAGAAACTATTCTCTATACAACAGAACTTCAAGTATATAAAGCAATTCTCTACTTCAAATATGTTTGGATTTATAAATAATTATTAAACAACATGTATCATTCATAAAAGTAAATTAAACCTAAGAAAGTAGGGAAATAAAAAGTAAATACTCTTTCCAATTTTTAAAATTGGGCTCATTTTTTGCTTCTCACTACTTATTTTTTGCCTTGTCACAAATTCAAGGTGGTCCTAACAGTACTCATACTTCTGAAAGACAAAAGAACATGTTCACTTTGCAGTCTACAAACCTATCTAAAGTCAAAAATAAGAGACACACCCAATAGAGAATGGTTTAATTTAAAAAAGAACAATAACAATAATAAACTTGCAGAAAAATTGGAATGTACATATACTGCTGGTGAAAATGTAACACAGCACATCCACTTAGAAAACAGTTCATCGGTTCCTCAAAAATTTAATGATAAGTTTATTGAAATGATGCAGCCATTCCAGTGTTAGGTATATAAAAAGAGAAATGAAAACAAAATCACAAAAAATTCATATGAGTATTATTCATAATTGCCAAAAAATGTAATCAAAATGTTCAAATGTCAAAAACTGATGGATAAATAAAATATGGTATATCTATACAACAGAATATTTTTAGCCACAAAAAGAAATGAAGTACATCACACATGGTGGGGTATACTTGTAATCCAAGCACTCTTGGTGGCTGAGGCAACAGGACCATGAGTTCAAAACCAGCTTGAGCTATAAGGCAAGCTAGTCTGAACTACATACATAGAGAGAAAACAAAATAAAATACTGACACATACTGCAACATGGATGAACCTTGAAAATATTATGCCAATAGGCAGTTCTGAAAGAATACATTATTGTAAGACTCCATTTATATGAAACATCCAGAATGGGAAAACCTATTATAAAACTTGGGTAGTGGGATGGGGATTTAGCTCAGTGGTGCCATTGCCTGCCTTGCAAGCAAGACCTGAGTTTGATCCCTGGTACCAAACACACACACACACACACACATACAACACTGAGCAGTGGTTTGAGAAAAAGAAAGAAGACTAACTGCTAATGATAGCAAGGTTTCTCTCAGAGAAGAAAAATCCTCACCATAGTAAAAAGCAGAGCTAAGTTGTACATTTTGTGAATTATATCTCAGTAATGCTGTTTGTAAAACAAGGACAAGAGATAAAACTTTTTCACAATTACCATTATAAATGATTAACTCTTCGTGAAACTCTTTTCTGCCCAGGACAAAATTAAAGGCCTGTCTCATTTCACCCAGTTTCTTAAGAATAATTCTCAATTTGTTCTCTGTCATCTATCACCACTAATTAATCAAGTTGTATCCATTCTATTCTTGAAGTATCTCTTAAATCCACATTTCTCTATCCCACCATTCCAGTGACCTAGAACTGAGGTTAGCAAACTTCAAATGAAAATAGCAAAACTCAAGACATAGGGACTTATAGGAGAGAAAGCAAATTTCCACCAAATGTTTTGCTAAAGAAAGTAAGTCAATAGTAATAATTAGATACTTTTTTTTTTTTTTTTTTTTTTGAGACATGGTCTCACTATGTAGTTTAGGCTGACTCTGAACCTGTGGCAATCTGACTACCTCAACCTCAAGTGCTGGGATTAGGCATGTGCCACCACACCTGACAAGATACAATTTTTATATTTACTAATAAGAATGGAACACTTTTTAGAAGATAACAGCTCACTTAACTGAAATTCAAAGTGTTACCTATCATTAAAATTGATGGCAAATGTTCATCCATAAAGGCTGATCTACGAGCCAGATGTGGTGGTACATTCCTGCAATCCAGCATTTGGAAAGCCAAGGCAGGCAGATCAACACAAATTCAAGGCCAGCCTGGGCTATATTATGAGTTCAAGGCCAGCCTGAACTACACAGCGAGACTCTCAAAAAAAACCAAAAACCAAAAGAAATAAAGATGTTGATCTGCATTTAGATTTTATGTATTTCATCTTTGAAAACATTCTTACAGAAAAAGAGGCTGAAGATTTAGGATAAAGGTAAAAGGAACTAGAGTATATGCAAAAGTACTAGTCTTCAATAAATAAAGGAGACATCTGCAGAATTCAGGAAGATTTATAGATGTGGTAGCAGAAAATTGAAGGAGTATTTATCTGACACTATTATCTCAGAGAAAAATCATCTACTAAGAGTAATAAGGGCAGAAGTCAAAGATGAGACAAAGTAGAGGGGCTATAAAATTTGGCATAAAATAAAATTTGAAATATTTTATGGAACCAGAGACATAGGTAATGAAAGAAATGTAGCAAAATCGTCAAACAGCACTGAAGTCCAGTTAAAGTTGGTAAATATTAATAATTCAAGTTATAACTCGTCATATAATATTGTTTTAACTTATACATTATTTTATAAAGTACAATACTACGTTATACTATGTACTTAAAACTGCTTAGCTTTATGATTTTTTTCCATTTTGTTTGGCTGTTCAAGCACATACAGAGAGTGGACAACTAAATTCATGTAAGGCTGAACACATACGGGTACCAAAGAAAGACAGTGTGATTAAAGACTTTAAAATGAGGCAGACACAGTGGTGCACAACTGTAATCCCATTTAGGAGGCTAAGGCAGGAAGACTGTGAGTTTGAAACCAGCCCAGCATACATAGCGAGTTGCAGGTCAGCCTAGACTACATAAAAAAAACTCTGCCTCAAAATCATCATCATCATCTTCTACTTCTTCCTAAGTGTAATTCCCAAGAGTAGGCATAGAATCTTAGTCAAATGAGACAGGAAAATGAAGCCTGAAGTTAAATGATGAATAAGGAGAAAAAAGGTCTACACTAGAGGACCTAATGATATAAAGAATGAAGTGGGAATATTTAAGTGAATAAGAAAAGTAAAAAATATGAAATATACTTTAGCTTAGAATAGTCTGTGCAAAATTATCCTGCATGCTGTTATAATCTTAATACCTAGCAGGAAATAAAAGCATGAAGTAGTGAAATAAAAACATCAAAGACAGTGTTCTTGGATATTTTCTACTATATATGTTACGACACTAGTATAATGAAGACAACTTAAATGTCCATCAGAGGAAAATACTTAAATTAGTATATCAAAACTATGGAATACCATATATTTACTGTTAAGAATAAAATTTATTTTAAAAATAATTAATCTTTATATGCCTAGCGTTCTATTTTGGAGCATCCATACCAAAAGAACATAATAAAACCTTTTTCTGTTCAAATTCTTATTCCTTGAATTTTTCTAGATAACATGAATTTTATGGAAAAATTTACAAAACGGTCATCTTTGGCATAAATGGGTTAACACATTGAAGGCTACTTTCTGGTAGACCTCAAATTGATGACTGGCTCTTATACCAATTAATATTCAAAACAAAAAATGATATCTATGTACAATGGAGCACTACTTATACTGAATTATAAAGGATTACTGAAATTTTGTATTCATAAACTAAAACTAGCACATCTCTGGTTAGTATTCTATTAATAAAGTCTCACTGTGAACAGGGCATGGTGGCGCACACCTGTAATTCCAGCACTCGGGAGGCTGAGGCAGGAGGACCGCTATAAGTTCAATACCAGCACGGGCTATATAGTGAGTTCCAGGTCAATTTCAACTACATAATGAAACCCTGTCTAAAAAAAAAACAAACCAAAACAAAAACAAAAACAAAAAAAAAGCCTCACTGTGTACATTAATGGGTTCCTATTGAACATATACCTACAAATAGTTGCATGCCTCAATTTCAGATAAAACAACACTTAAAATATTCATTTATTGCTATGTCAGTTAATATACTATTAAAATGTTAGGTTTTGGGGCTGGGGATTCAGCTCCTTGGTACCACAACCTGCCTCACATGCACAAGGCCCCAAGTTTGATCTCAGGTACAATGTAGGAAGCAATGACTATCTCTTTCCCTATTCTTAACATCAACCTGGAAACAAGATTAGGTTTCTTAAAAAAGAGAAAAGATTAAACATAAAAATAACATAAACTTACAGCTTCTCTGCCAATGAGTGGATAAAAGGGGGTACCAAAAAGTTTCCTTCCATTGATAAACGCTTTCATGATGAAATTGGTCACTATTGACAAAAGAAGGAAAAAATTAATGTGTCGAAACTTTAAAAGCAGAGAATCTCTATCTTTAAAACTTACTTTTTCTAGAAACTCCAGCACCAAGGTTATGATTCAAGTCAAAAGGGTCTAGAAAAGAAATATTTTAATTAAGAATTATATTCATTGTACCATAAAATAGCCAGAACTGAAGTCTAATACTATATATTCTCAGGCTATTTAAGTCGGCAAATTATTCTTTTAAAATTATCTATTAAAGAATGAAAACTGATAAAAATCAAGAGGAAGAATCTTTGAAATCCTAACAGTTTCCCCCTCAATTTGCTTGGCCAAAGTTTTCTTTTGTTCTTGAATTAATATTAGCATAAATGATTATTACCTTCAATCGCAATGCATTTAGATGTCCACTGCTTTTCAAAAGTTGTCAATAGCTTTTTCTGCCGAATGCTAATTACATATTCCTTGAAATCAAACTCTTCAGTATAGAAGCGAAGCAGTCCCAACCAAAGTTCTCCTAAGGATTCTGTGTTCTTTCCAAGGGAAGGTAAACGCTTTTTCTACAATTAGGAAAGGGAGAGCAAAAGAAAGGAGTGGAGGTTAGGGAAAGAGAAAGGAGAAGAGAAGCATCTCTATTATCCAAAATATAGACAGCAAATCCAAGTAATACTATTAAATTAAATTATGCTATCTTAACATTTATCAGTGAGCATTTTATAACATAAACACTAGCTGGGCATGGTGGTATGCACCTGCAGTCCCAGCACTTCGGAGGCTGGGGCAGGAGGATCACTGCAAGTTCCAGGCCAGCCTGAACTACATAGTGAGACCTTGTCTCAAAAAACCCAAAAATATTAAACAACAAAATAAAATATAAACACCATGAAAAAATTACCAGTTCTTCTGTTTTATCAAAGAAGAAAGCATTCCATCCATCAACCATTCTCTGAGGAATCTGTTTTCCATCAAAGATCTGCATTTTAAAGAAAAAACATTTTTATTATCAAATCTCAAGTTATTCAACCCAAAGATCTACAGACTTTCAAATCACTTCAGAATTCACCTATAGAAGACATACTGAAATATCTTTCCAAAAGGAACAAGCCAGAATGCCATTATTTCATTACATTAAGTAATTAAATGAAGTGCTATCTATTAAATCAGAGTTGCAAAAGGATATTGTAAGAACATGAGACTCTCCAAATGACACATTTGATGTTATCTGATGTCATCTATTTGACCTATCAAAAACATCCAGTGCAAGATTAATGAAGTTAAATCAAAGAAAACAATGATATATTATGTACCCAAAGGAAATCAATCAATAGAACTGCTGGTTTTTAGTACCTTTAATCAATTATCTGTATCAGATAATGTTGAAAAGTACTTGAAGATTTTGTCAAATGAGAAATTAAATAGCTTTCCCTGATATTTTCATAAAGACTATAAATCTTTATTTTTAATGACACTTTAGACAGCAAGTCAATAAAGTAGGAAGGTATGGAAGATGTGATATGTTCAGTGTCAGCAGACTTCACTTCTAGTCTCAGATACTGAGCAAGATAATAATCCCACAAATCATTAGTTTTCCAAATAAAAATTAAAGATTACAGTACTTATGTCAGTAGCTTATAAATTTCATTTTTCTTTTAAACTACAGAACTGTTTCCTAAAATGGAACCTTTCTGGAAGCTCAACATATGAAACACAAGCAGAGATACTTTGATAGAGACTGAGTGAAGAAAACACACTTTTCTTTATCTTACTCCTATCACCTCTACCACCCCCACATTAATGAATTCTAAAATAAGCCAGAAGACAGTTTAAAACTATTAAAACTACTAGATACAGTGGGGCATAGTGGCATAAGCATATAATCCCAAGAACTCAGGAGGCAGGAGGATTATCACGAACTGTGGGAGGCCAGCCTGAGCTACAATGAGTTCAAGACCAAATGAACTAAATAGCAAGACACTGGCTCAAAATAAACAAAAATAAATAAAACCACATTACTCATCGCCCTTTTCATTTCTGATAGAATGGTGTTTAACAAAATTAACCACAATGTTTGGCATCTCCAACCCCCCACTCCCCACAACCAGGACCTTACACTTGGGAGGCAGGTGCAGTGCCACTGAGCTAAATCCTCAGCCCTGGCCTCTCCGATTTCATTCTCAAGTTTAAATTCCTTGTGGGTCAAAGGCTTCAGTTTATCTCTACAACCTAAAATCCTTCTAGATCAAAGCTTCCTATATAGAGAACACGTAACATAAGTTTATCTACCAAATATATTTACTTTGTATATTACATAAAGTTTCCAGGGACTTAAGCTAGTAAGTTTACATAACTTAACAGTTGCCAAAAATGATTTAGTAGAAGTTCTGGTATTTTGTAAAACAAAAAAGTGAGAAGCTGACAATTAAAAACATCTAAACAAATCTAAAACAAGATACATGGGATCCTCCTCTCAACATGTAAGGTTTTACATATAATTTACCCTTGGGCTGGGGATTTAGCTCATTGTTTCGGCACCTGCCTCGCAAGCACAAGGACCCGAGTTCAATCCCCAGGGCCAAAAACAAACAAAAACAAAAACATATAATTTACCCTTAAAAGATTCAGGTACTATTATGGATATTCCATGCTCTGTAAAACAGATTTTTAAAAATTTCCCAAGCATTGAAATAATATAAACTACCTCTTTAGGCTTTGATTCTTCTGAAGAGAATTCTTACTTTTGAGTAACAATCATGATCCAAATAAAACTCACCAAATAAGACAATCATATTTGGGGCTGGGAACTAGCTCAGTGGCACAGCACCTGCCTAGCATGCAAGAGACCCTGAGTTCAATTCTTGTTACAAAAAAATCATAAAATCATATTTGTGTCAGAGAAGTGACCCTGAACATTTCACATTTGAACAAATATTTTGTTATGAAAGAACATATACAAACAAAATTTACTATCTTTTTTTTTGGTACCAGGAATTGAACTTGGGTCTTTGCGCTTGCAAGGCAGGCCACCGAACCGCTGAGCTAAATCCCCAGCCCAAAATTTACTATCTTAAATATCTACTTAATTAGCATATTCACAGGATTCTTTCTTAGAAAACTAAAACTCTGTACCCATTTAAAATATAATTTTCTGGGCCAGGGATTTAGCTCAGTGGTGCCACGGCCTGCCTTGTAAGCAAAAGGGTCCCAAGTTCCATCCCCATACCAAAATAAATAAATTAATTAAATAAATGATGATAATAATAATAATAATTTCCCATTTATCAATTTCTCAGCCTCTGACAACCACTGTTTTACTTTCTGTATCTATAAATTTGATTAGCTAGGTAGCAAGTTAGAATCAAACAGTATTTGTCTTTTTGTGACTGGCTAACCTCACTTAGCCTAACTCATTAATTTCATTAAATATAACCTTAACCTTAAGATCATATCAATAACCAATACCTTTTTGTTTGTTTTTTGAGATGGAGTCTTGCTATATAATACAGGGTAACCTCAAACTCAAAACGATCCTCCTGCCTCAGTCTCCTCATTGTATAGACAGGCATGCACCACAACATCTGGCTATGTAGCTCAAGGTGGCCTTGAACTCACTAGGTAGCCCAGGCTGGTCTGTAACTTGTGCTGATCCTCCTACCTCCCAAGTGCTGGGATTACAGGTGTGCAATATCACACGTGGATTTTTTTTTTTTTTATCACACCCTGCCAAGACTCAGGAAAGATTACATCCAGAACTGCTTCAGAAGCTGGGCGTGGTGGCACACGCCTGTAATCCCCAGCACTTGGGAGGCTGAGGCAGGAGGATTGCTGTGAGTTCAAAACCAGCCTGGGCTACATAGTGAGTTCCAGGTCAGTCTCAACTACACAGTTAGACCCTGTCTCAAAAAAAAAACAAACAAAAAAACCCAAAACAGAACTGCTTCAGAAAGTGGCAAGAATTACAGGATAAATGTTTAAATGAAGCGGAGAGGGTTCTGAGAGATTAATGGCAATGTCTTTTACTGCATATTTTTTACTTTAAACATTCACCATGTATTTTGATCATACCTCACAAAAGAACAGTTCTACATCATTCTCCACTAGAGAAATACAAATTAAAATAACAATGAGCTGGCCATAGTGGTGTATGATCACATAATCTCAGCAAGAGGGGCACGAGGTTGGGGGTTGAGGCAGGGGGATCACTGAGAGTGTGAGGCCAACGTGGGCTACAGTAGTGAGTTCAAGGCCAGCCTACACTACATGGAGACCTTGTCTCAATAAATCAATGAAATACCATTATACACTCAATGAAATAGCCTAAATCCAAAACACCAATACCACCAAATGCTGGTGAGAATGTGGGACAATAGAATTCTAACTCATTGCTGGTGGGAAGGAACATGAGAAAGCCACTCTGAGATACAATGCAGCCATTTCTTTTTCTCCTTTTTTTGAGACAAGGCCTTGCTATGTCTCACTGGTCTTAAACTTACTATGTAGCGCAGGCTGTCCCTTAAACTCACAGTGATTCTCTTGCCTCAGTTTCCTGAGAGCTGGGATTACAGGAATGCATCACTACGCCCATCTATGAAAGGACCTTAAATCCCTATTACTGCATACTATAACCTGAATATGGATAATGTCCTCAAAATGCCCATGTCTTTGAGGCCTAGTCACCAACAAGGTCCTACTGGGAGGTATTGCAAACCTTCTGGGAGGTGGGTCCTTATGGGAAGACCTTAGTGTACTGGGAGCAGGTCCTTAAAGGAGAGTGGGAGGCCCCTATCTGAGTCCTGGTTGATGATGTAATAAGCAGTTTGCTCTACCACACATACCCATGATGTGCTACCCTCACCAAAAGCATAAATAGGGCTGCTTGATTGGGAACATCCAGAAACACAAGCCAAAATAAGCTGTTTCTTTATAAGTTAATTGCTTCATTATAGTAACTTCATTATAGCACCATGAAACTGACTAATACACTGAGTGAAAGAAGCCAATGTGAAAAGGTCTTGCTAAAGGTTTCAATAAATTCCCAGATTGGGTTCAATCTTGAGATCAGATCCTCCTGCTTCAGTCTCCCAGAGTGCTGGAATTATAGGCATGTGTCACCATTCCCAGCACTTTAAAAGAGCACTTTAAAAGTAGGAAAAACAGTCTATATAGTATAATGATGGTACATCATTACATATTTGTACAAACTCATACGTATGTAACACCAAGAATGAATCCCAATGTAAGCAATGAACTTTGGTGTAGGTTTTCCAACTATAACAATGAACCACTCTGGTGCACAGATAATGGAAAGCTATGCATATGTGAGGACATGGGCTATAGGAGAAATTCCTCTCAGTTCTGCTGTGACCTGAAAAGGACTCTAAAAAATTAAAGACTTTAAATACACACACACACACACACACACACCATCCAACACAGATTCAGTCAAGAACTCTCTCCTGTCAAAGAATTATTAAAATTTTTACTCCCTTTCCACTGTTTTTTTTAAAGAGGGAAGAAAATGCTACTCAAACTACTCATCATTCTTTAGAACTTTGTAAAACTTACTAAGACCATCTGATACCTACCATATGGTTCTCTTCTTAGGCGTGACTATCAAAGTTTATGTGAAATCATCATATACGATTTTCCAAAAAGTTCCAATGCTCTCTTCTATCTCAAAATAGTCACCTTTCTCAGAAATTAGAACTGGATCATCTCTATTGCCAATAAACCCACTTTGTGCCAAGAATCAGAAGGAACAAATGGATGATTAACTGTTTTACATCAATTTCAGAAATTATAAGCTGGCTACAGAGAAAGTGACTAGGTCACCCATTTTGACTAAATAAATATGAGTATCATCTGTTTCTTTCAATGTACATTCTTTTGCTTAATGCAATTAACATAGCATTATAAGAGATGGGGAAAATTTTCACTGGGTTTGTTCTTAAGCAAAGTTTACAAGGCTGACCAAAGTATACACAGGAATAAATCAAACTTCATTATCAATCAGGAAGAGGGAAAATATTCTATAGAAAAAAAATTTATGTAATTGTATTTGAGAGACTAATAGGTATGTTTATGGTTGGCTATAAGAACTTCAAATCATTTGCAGCACAAGGCTAAAATTCAAAAATGTTGCAAAAGATTCAAGTCAACTTCTATTAATAGTATATATGATGCCATAATAAATTTTTCAAGAAAATTAATTAGCCAGGCATGGTGGCACACGCCTGTAATCTCAACACTTGGGAGGCTGAGGCAGGAAGATCACTGTGAGTTCGAGACCAGCCTGGGATACATAGTGAGTTCCAGGTCAGTCTCAACTCCACAGTGAGACCCTGTCTCAAAAAACAAAAAACAAAAAACAAAAACAAAGAAACAACAACAAAAAAAACCCAAAAAAGAAAATTAATTAATTATGGCATTAATGGAAGGAGAAAACACAGTACACATTCATGATGAAAAAAATCCTTGATGTCATGAACTGAGCAAGAGCTCTCATCTTTAAATCTACTGTTTTCACAAAAATGCCTTCAGTTTTTAAAAATACCTACCTCTTGTAGAACTGGGATAACAGGTGGCTTTCTCTGCTGCAGAAAGTACAGCACCATAAGAATATACGCATACGAAGATAAACTTCCCCTGGAAGCATCTCCAATATCACAACGCTTCAAAATAAATGAATTAATTAATAAATTAATTTGCTGAAAATAAAATTTCAGAGTATTGACTACTATAAGGCACTATTTTTTAATGCACTGAAATGAAAAATAGGCCAATAAACTCTTTCTTATAAAGGGTTTGGGGAAATAGTCATTCTAATAAATCACAGGTTAGAATATAATTTACTACAAATTCTTATGAAGAGTATTTTGGTAACATTACAATTACAAATCATATTTCCTTTCACCTAGCAATTGTGTTCTAAGAGTTTATCTTGCAGGGCCAGGGATTTAGCTCAATGGCACAGCACCCTGGCAAGTGCTCACACTTAGTCTTGAGTTCTATCCCCAGTATCAAAAAAAAAAAAAGTTTATCTTGCAAATGTGTGGAAAAACAAGTTTACATTGTATTTTGGTTATAATAGTAAAAAATAGAAATAATTTAGGTTTGCCGGGAGTGGTGATGCATGCCTGTAATCCCAGCACTCAGAAGGCTGAGGCAGGAGGATCACTGTGAGTTCCAGACCAGCCTGGGCTACACAGTGAGTTCCAGGTCAGTCTCAACTACATAGTGAGACCCTGTCTCAAAAAACAAAACAAAATTTAGGTTTGTAAATAAAGCACAGGTTAAAAAAACCAAGAACTACCCATACAATGGAATGGTGTGCATCCTTTTTTCAAAAAGACCAAGTTCTTAGGGTAGTAACATGAAATAAATTACAAGATCTGCTGCTAAGAGCAAACAAAACAAGCAAAGTGTAGAACAATGTTTTCAGTGTGTTTACACCTTAATAAAAGAGAGGTAGGAAATGTATGCATTTGCTTATGCTAGTATTTTTCTGGAATACAAGGAAACTTTGAGGAGGGTGGTACTGGGGATCAAACTCAAGACCTTGCACTTGCGAGGCAGACGTGGCACCACTAAGCTAAACCCCTGGCCCACAAAGAAACTTTTAACATTAGTTACTTCTAGTAAGAACTGGTTGGCTAGAAGATAGGTAATAAAGGGAGATTTTTCCACTTTCTATCATAAACCTCTTTAAACCAGTTGAATTCTGAACCACATGAACACACTGGCTATTTAAAAGTATTTAAATTAAAAACAAAAACTCAGAGGCTTCTCCCTGTGAGAAGTTAGGTTATAGCTGTATAACTGAAGGAATGATTTCTGATGTGAACCATTAGGTTTAGTAACAAAATTCCATGTAGTTACAGGGAAACCACTGTGTTGGAGTTACTCTGTTAGGTGACTCCAGAAGAGTAGCTGTATCAAAGCTTACATGCAGTATATATCAATATGCTTTTCTAAGATATCTTCTGTCTAAAAAGATGTACAAGAATGTTTTTAAAATATGCTTTCCACCGGGCGTGGTGGCACATGCCTGTAATCCCAGCACTGGGGAGGCTGAGGCAGGAGGATCAATGTGAGCTTGAGACCAGCCTGGGCTACGTAGTGAGTTCCAGGTCAGTCTCAACTACATAGTGAGACCCTGTCTCGAAAAAAAAAAAAAAAAAAAAAAGCTTTCCTATTAAAAAATGTGAGCTTTATGAAATGAAAATCTGGCCAAGTAACTTCCCTACAAAAACTCTTTCACAGACACTTTCATAAAATCATTTAGTAACCAGCTACCTTAATGTCAGCACTCCACTGAGCACCAAACAGAGATCCCTTCTATAGTTTACACATTCCGCAAAACAAGAAGAAAACAACAGTATATGCAACAAGTGTTTTAATTGAAGTACATAGTTTTATTTGTATTATTTTCTTTTCTCGATCAGAAAAAACTTTATCATTAAGCCCAAATATCAGATTTCTAACCCAGAGGATATATGCCAACTATCAACCATGTCTAGGGTTGAAAAATCACTGTCCTGAGAAATTTTACTATTGAGGAACTCACCAGTGTGTTGTATATACGACTAAAACACACACAGGAAAAAAGCTAACACCTTATCCTGATGGATACAAATTCAACCTAACACAACACTTTTTTAAAATCTTGGGAGCTGGGCGTGGTGGCAGCACCACCTGTAATCCCAGCACTAGGGAGGCTGAGGCAAGAGGATCACTGTGAGTTCGAGACCACCCTGGGCTACATAGTGAGTTCCAGGTCAGTCTCAACTACATAGTGAGACCCTGTCTAAAAAAAACCAAAAAAAGGAAAAAAAAAAAAGAAAGAAAGGCCAGCCTGAGCAACACAGCAAGACTTTGTCTTTTAAGTAAATAAATAAATAAAATTGAGACAATATTTATCATAGTTCCCATCAATGTTTCACTTTCAACAAAGTAGATCATTGACTTTTTATAAATACCTTAGCAAACACTTTCATAGTATATCCCAAGTACTGTACTCTAGGATCAATAGCTGCATAAGTAGCTAGCATTCTTGTATTATGTTGAGCCTGAAAAATAATTACATATAGCATTTCATATTTCTTAATCTTACAAATCAAATAAAGATATAATACATGTTAAGCAGAATATACCTATATTTCAATTCTAAAATATTTATTAACAAGTCAAACAAAAATTAACCTTAAACCCGAAGGCAATATAGCAAGATGACTGGTAAAATACTTTCTCCTTATATAGTACTTCTATATTTGAAATTCTTAAACATACAAGTACTGTATAACCAATAATCTGTAAACTTTTAAAATGCTAGTATATCTATACCTGGCCTATAAAGAGAAACTTACCAATGTATTATACAAACTGATATCACCTTCTAAACCACTTCGCCTGTGTTCAAATTTTACAATAGGCACTTTGGCAGTAGTTATAGGTAAAATGTTTCTTAAACCTGATTTAAAAACAAAGAAGAAAAAGTAAGTTACATAATTTTCATAATGCTAAAAGGTGTTTTTCTTTTGTTTTGAAGCAAAGATTTAAAAATTTATACCTGGATGCCGCTTAAGAATTTTCGCCAAATTTTCAATTATTTCCTTACAATTTAACTTCTAAAAAAATAAAACAAACAACAAATTAAAATGTGGCTCAATTTGCCTTGTGCAAATTCTATTTTAGTATTGGCATTTAATACTGCTATTAAAACTTCCAGCCATAATGTCACATGTAACCTTGTTACTCAAAGTATGTGGTTCATACACCCATGGCATTAGCACAATTTAGAAACTTAACAGAAATGTAAAAATCTCAGGCCCCTGGATCATAATGTGAATTTAACAAGATCTCAAGGCAATTCAAACATACATTCAAATTTGAGAAGCACAAAGACAAGAGGATATAGTTTTCAATCTGTGAATAAACAACTAGAGATGGGTCTGGTGAGGACAGACAGTACAATGATTAAAAACATAGGCTCTGACTTTAAACAAACTTGAAATCAAATTTTGAACTAAATACTGAAAAGCATCACACTAATATTCTATAAAATCAAACTAATCATGAATTCCTGCTCTACAGAGTTACTGGGAAGTATTACATCATTCATGTTCATAAAGTGTTCAACAGCAAGCCTGGCATAAAATAGGTATTTGAAATCTATGAGCTATTTATTATTATGATGTTGAAAAGGGAAAATGCTAATCCTATTTACCAAGTACCTATTTCCTTAAGGAAATTTTTATCTCTGCAATTTAAATGTGTTATCTTTTTAAAATCAGAAATAGCAGAAATGGTAATGATAATAAAAACACAAGGAACACAGAGGATAAAAACATTATAAATTAATTGCATTAAGCTTAACATCAATCTCATCACTTATCCAAAAGCACTTTTGCATTATGCCTAACATGCTCCTTTTTTTTAACTAAGAGAAAACAGCAGCCACTGCCTCTTAACCTGGGAATTTCAAGGGAATCATTGTTACTTATTCATGCACCATAAAAGGAACAAAAGATACAATTATGATAAATTTCTAAAGTTTCAATAATGGCTTGTGTGGAATAAAACATTTTTTTCTCTCAGTTTTCCAATGTGAATGGCACAGATTATATATAATATACAAACCCTTAGTGATTAGAAGTCTGATTATAAAATTTAACATAGAAGGTAGCTCTAACCTCATCATGGATAAAAATTATTTACTAGTCCCTCAATTCTTGCTTTTCAAAATGGAGAAGGGTAAGCTGGGGATTTAGCTCAGTGGTGCTGCACCTGCCTCGCAAGCACCAAGGTCCTGAATTTGATCCCCAGTACCCCTCTAAAAAAAAGGAGAAGGGTGGTCTCTTTCGAAGTAGATGGTAATAAGCAGATGTTAGTTAGTTAAGGAGAACAAACAAAATATTTGCAACTTTAAAGTTTCTTTATAGAACAAGAAGATGCTAATATCAAAATCAATTTCTTAGGGTCCAAAATAAGTTTACAAAGCATCACTACCATCTTTATTCTAGATCTAACAATTTAAAAACCACTTAACTATTTCAGAAACACAAAGGTACACCATTTTGAATTCTTTTGTAATGTAACAGAGGCTATGCTGACACCTCTACAGATGCCAAAAGCATGGCCTCAGCCCAATCTTGCAAGTAGTTCCTGATTTTGAAACTAATACCAATAGCTAAAGAACATCTAAGGACCACCCTCCTTTTCTATTTGCTGCTATGAAGGCCTGGAACACTTCTTCCCTGCCCAATTAGTCCCCTTCTTCACTGGAACTGGGAAAATCCCATCCCCACTACCAAGGCCTAGTACACAAAGAAGGAAAGGCTAACTACCCACTCTCACTGCTGAGAATGCACTGGGGGAAGGTCTGCTCCTGGCATCTCAAGGTGGAATCAGAAAGCTTTCAATTTCAGAAAGTAGTGGTTAAGTTCTACAGTACTATTAGTACTATATTTCAGCTACATTATGGGTTAAAAACAATTACAGTGAGAGAGTGAGAGTGAGACAAAACGGAAAGAGCATGAACTCTGGAGTCAGACAGACCTGCATACGAATCCCGGCTCCAACACTTACTAGCTGTGTGAACTTGGGCAAGTCAGTTTATCTCAGAAAGCCTCAGTTTCCTCATCTGTAAAATGGGGGACATAATACCTACCTCAAAGGTGGGTGTAGGAATGAAATGAGATAATGTATGTGTAAGTATATACTGAGAACTCAATAAATGTTAGTCCAGCCACCCCCCATGAGTTTCTAAAACTCACCGCATTTAAAACATTGCTTCTATGGAAACAATGAGAGTGCCCCAAAATCACAATTTACCTTTAGAACACAACCTACTTACAAATTAGGTAACTACCTGTATTTTGTATCTACAGTGATAAAAAGGGATCTCCAAACGGAAGAGATATGGGAAGATAGATTTAGCAAGACCAGTATTTACCAAAGCCCAGCTTCTCATTGGTTACAATGAAAATTTCCAACATTAGGGCATATTACTTTTTCCCAAAATTCATTTCAAACAGTAATACTTCTAATATACTTATACAAAGGATTTTTTATCAATATTACATAGAAAAATAAAAACAGATTCACCATTAGAAATAAACTTTCTCATCCCTTTCCAAACACTAACACTTACCTCTGCATTTTCATGGCCTTCCAGGGTCATACAAATATCCAGATCACTATCACGAAATCCAAATCCATTCTTAGAAGAGCCAAATAAGCACAACCTTGCTTTTTCTAAGCAAAGAAAAAAGTCATAACTAAACATTAGCAGGGAAGAGTCTTCTAATATCTACCACAGCCTAAAACAAGATAATCCTGCCCATTTCTATATCTTAAATAACCCTTCCCTGAAAGATACACTGAGAAATTCAAGAAAATCCACCTACAGCACAGATCTTGGGTTCAAGTTCAACATGTCTAAACTAAAATATAAATTTTACCACAAACCTACCATTACTCCTATAATTCCTATTCCTTGTAAAGAGTGTCACTGTTTATCCAGTTGCTCAAGTCAGAAATCTATGAGATCCTTAACACCTCTTTATCAACCTTCACATCCAATCACTAAGACCTTTAGCTTCTTCCAACAACTATAACTCCATCTATTTTCATTCATTCTCAACATTAGTGCCAATAGTTACTATCAACATTTGAGAATTTAGGGCTGGAGATTTAGCTCAGTGGTTCCGCCGCCTGCCTCAAAAGCACAAGGTTTTGAATTCAATCCCTGGGACCAAAACAAAAAAATTTTTTTGAGAATTTAGCTCTTGAAAATAAATTAGTCTCCTGTAATCCCTGTACTTAGGAGGCTGAGGCAGGAGGATCACTGTAAGTACAAGGCCAGCCTGGACTACACAGTAAATTCAAGTCCATCCTGAACTACACGGTAGACTCTGTCTCAAAAAACCCCAAACTAACAAAGAAACAAACTAGCCCCTGAAAAAGAAAAACAAACTAGTCCTTTTAGGGCACAATTCAAGTAGTTTCACAACTACCACCTTAGTATACAAGATTAATGCATTTTCCTCCAAAGGTGATTATTCCACTAGATATAAATTATGACAGGGTTCTTCTTGACATTTAAAGAGGGTTTTTTTGTTTGGTTTTGGTTTGTTTTTGAGACAGGGCCATACTATCCAGTTCAGGCTGGCCTTAAACTCACTATGTCACCCAGGCAGCTTCAAATTTATGGCAATCCTCCTGCTTCAGCCTTCAGATTGCTGGGATACAGGTGAGCACCATCATGCCTCACTAATATTTAAGAGTTCTTCACTAACAGCCTAGCTAATATTTAGAGTTCTTCAGTAACAGCTAATACTTCAAACAAGTTATAGTATAATAGGATTGGATTTTTATTCCTTTTAATTATTAATTTTCCTAAGCATTTAGAAAACAAAATCTTAAAAAATTAATCCTTCCATCTAGTTCTAACTCCCTTTTTAAAATTACAATAACAATTGAGAGGCATAAAAAAAAAGCCATGACATCATCAAACAGGTGTGTGAGCTGAAGGGACTCAGATTTGGCCAATACTTTATATATTAACAAAAGTAATTTAAAAATACAATCTTACAAGCAGCTATGGCAGCATACGCCTGTAATTCCAGATCTTTGGAGAATGAGGCAGGAAGACTGATTTGAGTTCAAGGCCAGGCTGGGTTATCCAGTGAGCTCAAGGCCAGTAAGAACTATATAGCAAGACCCTGTCTCAAAAAAGAATCTTACAACATATAACAAGTCACGTTTATAAGTATAAATTTAATTTAATTATAAATTAACTGTTTATACTTTTCTAAAATATTTGGCCACAAAAAATTTTTTGTTTTATTATTAGTCTGTAATATTGGTGAAAGAGCCCCATAGTCTACTTAAATTCCACCTTATAAGTCTTACCATAACAACCTAACACTTTTCTTGTCTCCTACACTTTAATAGCACTTACTATCTGCTGATTTACTTCTTAGTTGATTAACTCCCCTTCTGAAATATATGCTTCAGGAAAGCAGGCTTCATGTCTTCCATTAACAAGGTATCCTCACAAACTACAGTAATACCTAACATATAACATCAACAAATATTTTCTAAATAAATGAACGAAACTGAAGATAGGAACAAAAGCAATCAAATATTAATACATGACATACCATCATATTCTTTTTGAATAAACTTTTCCAAGCCAATTAAAATCTGTTCCCTGTTGTGTTGTTCAGAGAAAGGCGGTGATAATTCATCTAGATTTTTTCAAAAGAAAGGAAAATAAAAAGTAAGAAAAACAGAAATTTAAAATATCTTTAATTTTTTTACCCTAAAATTTTTAATTACAATTCCTCAATTATTTGTTGACTTTTCTGACTTTTCAAACCATAAATATTACTGAAGATGGGGCAGAGGTATTATAGATAGCTAAGTTAGTTAGAAATATTACAGGCAGTCAGACAGGTCTAAGCCCTCAAAGAAGCCAGTGCAAAAGATAAAAATACGTAACAACTCTGTCTAGAAATGCATTCTTAAAGGCCAGGCCTCAAGACAATGATGAAATGACTCACCTACATACTTCCCCTGAGGGATAAACAATAATGATTATTTTATTTTTTGCTTTTTGGTACTGGGGATTGAATTCAGGACCTTGCACTTGCAAGGCAGGCGGCAGCACCACTGAGCTAAAATCCCTGGCTCCGACTGTTATTTTAAATAGGCATCAGTCACCTGGGTGGGAGACCAAGACGTCCTGACACATCCCTCCAGGAAAGGTCCTTGTTCTTTCATGAACACTTGCTATGTGACTTGCTTCCCTGTTAGATCGATATTACCTAAGCAACTAGTAACTTCATTGAGCATTTGTCCCATTTTATACCCACCTCATGATTTTGCTCTATAACACCTCTCCTGTTAAATGTAGTTGGCAAAAACCACTTTCTGGGTCCCCTCCTTTGCCTCTCAAGCAGTATCTGTCTATCACTCAATAAATATTCCTAGTCTTAACCTCCGTTCTTCCTAAAATTCATTCTTCCATTTTAGAGAACACAGAGTACCAGACATCTAACAAGTTGGGAGTTACATCTATTTTTCCTATATCATCCCTAGATGGGGGGGCAGTAAAAACATAATATCTAAAGATCTATACACATTTTACATGATCACTTTCCCTATAAGACATCTACATTTACTTTTCAAACTACTTCGCACTTCCTTCAGACATTCCACACTCAAATCCATGCTTGTTTTTCCCTCTGGCTAAAAGTAGTCACACTGTTATTCTATAGGCATCAGGTCCATTCAAATCTAACAGCTCTTTTAAATGCTCAGTCAAGATTCATTATCTTCCAGATAAAACCATTCTGCCTAACCACTGCCTTAATAACCGCTCTTTGATTCAATTTCATTAGTCCTCAATTTTATTTTATTTTCTGATTTTATAATGTACTTTCAGTTTTCTAGTTATGCCATTTATATTTATTTTATTTTTCCAGTAAGACCACACAATCCTTAAGAACATTCTTATGACATCACTTCCTCTAGACTCACGTTTGAACAGTCAACAATAATGCTAACTAACTTATTAAAAATTTGCAAACATATCAATCGGGGAAGAGAGTTGAAAAGATAAAAAATAACAGGTCACTTTTTTAAGGCAATGAGACTATTTTATATAATACTCTAATGGTGTATACAAGACATAATACATGGCATGGTTCAAGTAAGTGTGCTCCAAATCCCATATGTTAAAGGTTTAGTCCTCAAACTTAAAGTGATCTTCATGCCTCAGCCTCAGCCTGTCAAGTGCTGGGATTACAGGAGTATACCACCATACCCAGCTTTTAAAACATAGGGTGTAACAGGAATCTTCCAGTCACTGAGGGTGTGCCACTGAAGGAAATATTGGAACTCTATCCCCTTCCTGTTTCTCTTTTGCACACATTAGTTTTGAGGTGAATGATTTTGTTATGATACATGCTTCCACCATGGTGTGCTATAGTCCCAACCTGATAGGGCAGCTGATTCTGGAATGAAACCTCCAAAACTATGAGTCAAAATAAGCCTTTTCTCTTTACAAATTGACTTCTCTCAGGTATTTTTTACAGTTAAGAGAAAGTTAACTAACACAACACATTTGCCTCTATATAGAATAGAACTTTACAGCACAATTTAGTCTTACTGTGCAAATTCTAAAAAATCATGTAGGTCAAAGATTTCAGGAAAGAATTCAGACTGAAGAAAGAATATATTCTAAACATGGGAAATAACTTCACTCAAGAGCAGGGGAGAAAGGGTGCTGACTTAAGTAACTGAGTGAAATCCAAAAGACTAAGAACTAAAGGAACCATGTAAACAAAGCAGTTAATTATAATGGGTGAAACTGTTTCCTACAGATTAACAGTTCTGATGCTTCTATATAAGTGTACTAAAACTGATTTAAAACATGGTTGATAGATGGTAGAATTATGTTTCACTCTGTAGAGTAGAAGTTTTCAGATAAAGAGAAAGGGCTAGAATGAACCTCACATAGTAATGGCTCATTCTAAGAGTTGCTAACAGCCAAAGCTAGAATAATTCAAGCAGCGAGATAAAGATTATATCTGTCATGCCTGGCCTGAAGAAAACCTTCACAAGCAAACAGGCTGCTCTGAGCAAACAAAAGACTATCCTCAGTGAACAAGATAAATTGCCATTAAAGACAATTTAAGAAACAGTACACAATTTCCCCAACACCAAGAACTCCAGTGATGTCTGCACACCTGTGCTGACCATCCTTGGATCTTCAATCATAGGCACTTCACCCCAGATTCCTTAGCCCTTCCATACCAATATAAGCGTAATCCCTTCCCACCCAACCACTGATGTTTCTAGCTCTCAATGTCAGCCTACACATTGATGTAATAAATTCAGCTATTCTAAGCTAGCTGCAGAAATCTGCCCAATCTTTGTTCACTGGAATAAACCTTTTTTCTCACAAGGCTCCAAATAGCCTCACAATGTGCCATTTTTATTAATATCCTAAAGTAAAAATATGTAAGTCCATAATGAGATGAATGACTAAATAAAAATAAATGTAATGAACTGTACCATTATAAAGCTAATCATTCTACTCCAAAGTACTTACCCAAGAAAACAGAATATATCCATACCCAAACCCATACATAAATAATAACAAATTTTTTTTCAGTACCAGGAATTGAACTCAGAACCTTGTGTTTGCCAGGCAGTCACACCACCAATGAGCTACAATCCAAACCCTAATAACAAAATTTAGAAGCAAGCCAAATATTCATCAATAGGTGAGTAAACTGTAGCATATCCATACAATGAAATAATACTAAGCAATAAAAAGAAATTAAACACTGATACATACAACATAATTTTAAAAATAGATTTAAAAAATGTATGAATCTTTAAATAATCATGCTGAGTGAAAGAAGTCAGATACCCTCCGCCCCAGCCCCCTTAAAAAGTATATTCTGTGTAATTCCATTTATGTAGAAATCTAGAAAATGCAAATGAATCTATAGTGACAGAAGCAAGGAAGTGATTGCCTAGCAGAAGGCAGGGATGGAGCCAGGCACCAAACCTGCCTGGCAAGCACAAGGTCCTGAGTTCAATCCCCAGTACCAAATTTAAAAAAAAGAAAAGAAAAGAAAGGAAGAGCAGAAGTGAGGGATTACAATGGGACACTACACAGTATGACATCAGAAATGTTATCTTACCTGAACATAGCTAGTAATTTATAAATGTCTGCTGAGTAAAAATGTATACTGGGTACTCCGTAAATATTTGCTAAACAAAGGCATAAAAAACTTTTCCCAATTTATAGCCTTATCTCTCTGCATTGCTTTCCTCATTCCATACCAAATCAAAGCCAATTATTCTCCCAAATTAAGCACTCTATACTTTTATTCATGAACTTCTATATCTGAAAATGCACTGCAAGGTCCACCTAAAAATATCATTTCATTAATCCCAAATCCTCTGATCTGTTAAAATTAGATTTGTACTGCATTTTGTTTATCACTACGATAGCATGTAACAGTCCACTTCCAATTATGATAATTTACATACAAATGTGTTGTATAACCTCATCCAGGGTAGCATTGTCCAAAACCACTCAATGACAGAAGTAGTCTCTGTTTAGAGCATCCACACAGTAGCCACTAGCCACCTGGAACCTCTGAGTGTTTGAGATACATCAAATATAAATAAAGATCTTACTTTTTAATTTTATTTAATTTAAATTGACTATTATTGAATAGCCACACTATAGTTACCATATCTGAAAGCCCAAATTCACAATTTAAGTTCCCTTAAAAGAGTATGTATGAATTCAACTGTATTCCTGTTGACATTTACCATAACATCCTGAACAAAATAGGTGTTTAGTAAATATTTGTAATCAATCTCTATTCAAAAACCTCTACCAAAACAAAGTGAGAAAATTATTTTCAAATTAGAAAATGAATATTCACTAGTTAAGACCACAGTCCCAGTAGTTTATAGTAATAAAAAACTTACCAAAACATCTTTTACATACTAAATCAAGTATTTCCCGAAATCGGTTTGTCATTGGTGGCAGAGGCTTTAAATCAATTTTCCTGAAATCCTCAGGGCAATCATTTTTTGAATGACCATCCTTTTTGCAGATGCTGCATACTATTGTTGGCGGCTATCCAGAGGTAAAAAAGAAAAGAAACTAATTATCTAATACCTAGAAAACATTTCTAAAAAGAGTATTTTATGTAACTCAGTTCTTACAATCTGTGCTTTCCAGAGGTTAAAAAAAATGTTAATGAAATAAAATAGATATTAAAACAATTACTTGTTTTTTACAGTATCAGGGATTGAACCAAGGGAGCATTATGTTACATGCGCAGATGTTTTTATTTTGATTTTGATTGATTGTTTTTGGTTTTTTGAGACAAGGTCTCACTATGTAGTTGAGACTGACCTGGAACTCACTATGTAGTCCAGGCTGGTCTCGAAATCACAGCAGTCCTCCTGCCTCAGCCTCCCGAGTGCTGGGATTACAGGCACACACCACCACGCCCAGCTTTTATTTTTGTTTTGAGACACAGCCTAAATTACCCAGGCTGGCCTTGAATTTGCAATCTTCCTACCTCAGCTTCCCAAGAAGCTGGAATTACAGGCATGCACCACCATACCCAACTAAAAAAACTTTTCAAGCCAACCATTCTCCCACTAGAATTGTATCGGGAACAACTAAATTTACCTACTGATGTAAAATACACAAAATAACATGAGATGCAAAAGGTACTGATTAATTCAAACAGCTTGATCAGTTCCAAATGAAAAATATACACACTGTTTTTAATTTACTGAGAACAAAGTTGTTTACAAGGAAATTTCAATTTGTACTCTATTTTTAATCTTCAGAATCAATCAATCATAGAACTCTCACCTAGCTAGTTTACAAGTCTCCAGAGACCAAACATAGGACTGGATTCTAAAAAGAATTTAGCACGGTATAAAACAGTATTTTAATAGCCACAAACTGAATTCCAAAACCCTACAGTCTCATGTTAAATGAGTCCCAGTGGACCATCAGACATATAGTTAAAACAATAAAACTGTATACTAACTAGGTGAAAACCAGACATATGGTTAAGGAATACTATTCTTTTCTTTATTGTAATATGTCTAGACCCTGGAGTAAGGCATCTTTCTCTGATGTTAGCCTGAACTTTTACACAGACACAAACTTTGATAAAGTTATATACAGAAATGGTTCATACCTCTAATCCCAGCACTTTGTGAGGTTGAGACAGGAGGATGACCAGTTCAAACACAGCATGGGCAACATAGTTACTTAATGACACTCTGTGGCAAATTTTTCAAAAAGGGCTGAGGATATACAGCTGAGTGTGAAAGCTATATAGCTTGGTGAAAAGGTCAAGGGGAGGCCATGGGAGTGGATGGGGAACAGGAAGGGGAAGCGAGAGGAGGGAAATAGAGAAGAAAGGGGGGAGGGGAAGGGAATTGGAAGATGGTGGACAAGGGTCAGGGAAAGAAAAAGGAAGGAAAGAGGGAAAACGGGAGGGAGGGAGGGACAGTGAGAGATGGGGGAGCACCATAGGAATTTCTATCCACTTTTCAAAGTATTCATTTTTATGACCTATATAGAAGGGAAACTTAAAGTTATATGCATTTAACTAGTAAAAATAAAACTAGAAAAACAGCACCACCTTGCCTGGCTAACTCTTATTAACAAAGCAGTTATTGCTTATAGTCTTCTTCTTAGGGTGTTTTTCTACAATGTAAAGGGTTAAAGTTCAAACTATTCCACTTTTTTTAGTTTGTTCGTTTTTTGGGTTTTTTTGTTTTTTTGTTTTTTTTTTTCTGAGAAAGTGTCTCACTTTGTAGTGCAGGCTGGCCTTGAACTCACTATGTAACCCAGGCTGATCTTGAACTCATGGCAATCCTCCTGTCTCAGCCTCCCTTTCCAGAGTTCTATGATTATTGGTGTGTACCACTGTGCCTGGCTATATACCTTTTTAAATACCAATTATATTACAACAAAACAGGTCTTTAAAAATAAATACATTAAAATTTTTAAAGCTTGTCAATAATTACTACTAAAAGAACAGATCTGGATGGTTGTACAGTTTTCTTGGGTTTTTTTGTTTTATTAATATCCTACTGGTTGACACATGACACCCATTTTTTTCATTCTGCATGCTGATGATATTTCAGTTATGTGCATTGCACCGAAAGCAATGTAACTTAGCTATATATATTTAAGTGCTTGGGATCAAACCCAGGGACTACATCACCAACCCTTTTTCTTTTTGAGACAGGGTCCCACTGCATTGCCCAGGCAAGATTCAAACTTATAATCCACCTGCCTCAGACTCCCTCAGAGCTGGAATTACAGGCATGCATTACCCTGCCCAACTAAATCTTATTATCAAAGCAGTTACTGCTTATTTTCTGTTCATTGGAGTATTTTCTACAATATAAAGTTAGAAGTTCGAACTATTTCACTTTAAAAGTAGAAAAATTAGGATTCTTATCATTTATGAGATAATATGAAATCCAAACAAGCTCCATGGCAGAATCTGATTCCTCCCTTTTTGTTCCTAATCTTAATTTCCCTCAACTACTTTTAGAATATTTATATTACCCCGATCCCATCCCCCAAAAATCCTTAAAATAGGGCACTCATTAGAATTTAAAACTTAGTTATTCAAGAAAAATACACACATACATATACACATATATATACACACACATACAAGACTTAAAATACAAGCTAAATTTGCTAAATTGATTTTCATAAAACATTGAATGAATCCTTTCGTGTATGAAAAAGAAAAAGAAACCAACTAGTAGTAAGGTGCTAAAAACTTCTGGTATACACTATCTGTTTATTTTTTAGGTACTGGGCATCAAACTCAGGACCTTATGCTTGAGAGGCAGGCAGCAGCACCACTGAGCTAAACCTCCAGCCCCTGGTATTTATTTAAAGACAGCTATAGGAAAAATTCAAAAAGTAAAAAACAACTATACATAAAAAAAATTACTTTAAATCAAGTCACACAATTAAAGCTATTTTTACACTTCTAAATCTGAAAACTATGAATGGTCAAAGAAATCAGAAAATCTTATAGTTTACAAACTGGATCCTACCTTGCCAGAGGTTAAAATAAACTTATCAAACACATAATATAATTCCTGGGAGAGTAAGTTATCATCATCATTAAGGTCAGAAGCAACTTCTGTAGCTTTGCAGTTGCAAGAGGTAGCAGATGTGTCGATGCACATAATCTGGTGTGAATTCTCTATTTCTAAATTTGACCTGCAGTCTGTTCCAGCAGACTCATCTGGATCAGGGGATTTGACGCAATTACACTGGCCAAGATCCTTCTCAAAACAAGTTTCTGAAGGCCCTAAACCATCAACTTTCTCAACTGATTTTGGCTCTAATTCAGTGCCTTCATTGATAATAGAGAGAGATGAAGATTCCTGTCCAGTGTCAGCCAAACCTTGTTCATTTACCAACAAATGGTCATTGTCAATAATACATCTCTGTGATGTACATCCCATGTCACCATGCTTATCAGATTGACCTCTTTCTGTATTTGTTTTTTCTGTGCTTTCCCCAAGTAGAACAGAACAGCTGGTTGCCACACTGTCAGACTTCACTGGTTTCTTATTGCTTATTTTCCCCTTCTCTTTTTTCTTGAAGTGCACTGTAGACTTATTTCCACCCTTCCTCTGAGGACAGGCAAAATAACGATAAGCTGCCCTGAATCTCTCCACAACATATTCGTAAACAAGCTGGCTGTTTAAGCTCCGTGCAACATTCCTCTTGACTGAAAATGGATCTAGTAAAAAAAAAAAAAAAAAAAAAAAAAGGGAAAGAAACAGTCAATAACTAAGTCTCTATCAATAAACTACATTTTTAAATTAACAGAAGTGTATCTTAATTGTTAGACTGGTAGCAAAATATATTTTCTCTAAGTTTTTCTAACCTAGGTTTCCAATGATAGTTCCTGAAAACCAAGTAAGGAAACATCTTTACCTTTGTTTCTTCCATAAAATAACAAGGAAAAAAGAGAGAACATGGTAATAATATAACTTTTAAGAGAATAGGTGAGGAAGCTAGGGCCCTAATTATAGTTTCAGTGATGAAATTACTGGAGAAAAAAAGCTATGCTACTGTGCCTCCTTACAGACTGCTACCAAATGAAAACCTTCAAACTCCAGGACCTAATAATTTCCATCGCTTGTCATAGTATAATTAATATTCTTGGACTAAGAACTGGAACCTTGTTTGTCAACATCAATTGTTCTCCTTTATGTCTTTCTTTTGAGATAGTGTATCGCTTATTCGTCCAGAGTGGCCTCAAATCTTTTATTTAGATTAGCCTAGGGATACAATTTATAACATTATTATATGATAAGTGGTGCACACACAGAAATAAATAGTCTCCAAATGAAATATAGCATCCTACCTTCAATGGCTATTCGTCTTTTTGGCCAGTTTTTGTTCTCTCGTGTTAAAATATCTTGTATTCGTACACATATGACATACTCCTCCAAAGCAAAATCCAGTGTGTAAAATTTTAGCAGCTCTAGCCATAACTGTCCCAGAGATACCTGATTTGGTGTTTCCAATGTTAAAGGAGACTGGAAAAAAAAAAACTTTTCATTTATGCTTCATAAAACTACAATCAATGAATTTTCAGTTTGAAAGGGCTTAGAAATTACATGTTCAAAAACTGAGACATGAAGGAGTAATTTACCAAAAAGTAGTTGGTGTGAATCCCAGTTTACTAACTCCTAGAAATTGTGTTCTATTAAAGCAATGATTTTCAACTTTGACTGCACATTAGAATCACTGGATTAAAGTACACTAATACTTCAATTCTATACCACTCCCACTTTCCATACCCCTCCTAAGAATCTGATTTAACTGACCTGGAATAGACTACTCATTGGGATTTTTAAAGCTTCTTAAAGTGTCTCACATGGAAAATCAAAGTTGCAAACCACTGGAAAAGAGATACTATACCTCCTTAATTACTTTTAAAATCCAAATAAATATCCTCATTTTCAAAAAATGCCTTTATTCACAAACATTTCTTCAGAACCTACTATGTCTTTGGCACAATACTGGGGATATCATAAAAGAACGAGAGCTCACACTTATATATATAATGCTTACCATGCACTATTCACTTTTCTAAGAGCAACATATATATTAACAATTCTATGAAGTAGATACTGTGAAGCAAGAATGTGACTCAAGAACCCGTCTAGTGGGTCCATATTGTGAATCACTACACTATACTGACACTCAAATAAAGTAAGATCCTACTTCATAGACTGTTAGGACAAGAAGTAATTTAACCATTACAGTAAAGGCTACATGCTAAATATAGGACTGTAAATCAGAGGGGTCATAATAGAAGAGGTAATACCTGAATTCCAAAGCAATTAGCTAGATGAAGATATCTAAAAGTGACCACTATACAGCCTAAGGGCACGAAACAGATATACATACATTCAATACTACAATTCTCATTGAGTGCCTACTATGTACCTGGCAGTGTGCTGGCACTTTGGATAGATCTTTGGCAAAAAGTAAAGACCCCTGCCTTCACGAAGCTTATTTTCTAGGGGAAAAAAAAAAAAAAAGAGAGAGAGAAGCACAGAAGCACACTTACTAAGTAAATAACATACTAATTTAGAAGACCTAAGTGCTGTGGAGGAAAAAAGATAAACAGTATGACAATATGGCAACAGGAAAAGGTTAAACTGAAGGTGTTAAACTGCAAGGTTAAGAATAAGATTTATTGGGCCAGGGATTTAACTCAGTGGTTCCTCCTGCCTTGCAAGTTCAAGGTCCCAAGTTTGATCCCCAGTACAAAAAAAAAAAAGTAAGATATGTTGAGAAGGGGTAAACTGAAAAAAAGGAAAAGTGTTCTAGCAACAGTAAAAGACAAAGCAGATGGTGGCTAGCTGAAAAAGAAAACCATGAAAGCTAGTGTGATAGAAGACGAATAGATGAAGAGGAAAACAAAGAGCTAAGGCCAGTTAAGGACAGACTGCCTTTCATTATAAATGAAATGAGAGTGCTCACTCCAGTAGCACATATACTAAATGAAATTAGAAGCAACCAGTTTGTTCTGCTGATAACAGATTAAGGGGCAAGGACAAATGCAGGAAAATTTATTAGGAGACAATGAGAGTAATTCAGGTCAGAAATGATGGTGGCTAAGACCAGCATGGTAGCAGTGGACATGGTGAGAGATGATCAGCGTCCCTGACAGACTCGATATGAGGCATGAAATCTAAAGAACAGTTGGAGCAACTTTGAGGTTTTCAACTCAGCAAGTGAGACAGACATCAACTGAGGTGGGACTGTGTGTGAAACAACCTAAAGGGAACCCAAAATTCAGCATGGACAATGTAGTTCAAAACATCTCACCAGGCACTAGTGGAATACACAATTATGGAGTCTAAGAGAGGTTTGATGGAGATTTAAGTTGAAGAGTCATTATCATACAGATGGCACTTAAAATCTAAAAACTACCACAGGAGTAAAACAAAAAGCTATGTAGCACTTCAATATTATGGGAGGAAAGGAAAAAAGAAATCAGTAGAGAAGAGTGAGAAGCTATGTGGGTGCTGCCTTGGAAGTGAAATGTTTCCAAGAAGGAAGTAATCCATTGGCAAATGTATCTGATTAAGTCAAAAAGGATAAAAACTGAGAAATTATCATTGGGTTTAGCAATCTGGAGGTTACTGACATTTGATGATGTAAGTTTTGGAAGATTGATAGTGTGATTTAGGGGGACACAGAAAAATTAGTAACTGAATTATACTCAATTCTTTCAAGAAGCTTTACTACAAAGGAGAGTAAAGAAATAGCTGCGAGAGGGACTGGTGCCAAGATTGTTTTGTTTTGGTTTGGTTTTTTGTAGTAGTGGGGATTGGGCCCAGGACTACACTATGTCCCCAACCATTTATATTTATATTTATATTTTGAGATAGGATCTTATTAAGCTGATAAATTACCCAGACTAGTATCAAATTTCTGTCTTCCTACTCAGCCTCCCAGAGTGCTGGAATTACAACTATGTATCACTGTGCCTGGTTAAGATTTTTCTTTTAAATGGGAGAAATGAAAGTAGGTTTTATTCAATAAAGAATGAAAAATTGAAAAAAAAGAAAAGAAAAATTGCCAATTTAGTAGAGAAAGAAAAGAACTGCTGGAGTAATATTCTGGAATACAGAAGAAGGGGCAGTATAAACTACACAAATAGAGAAAATAACTGGATTAAAACATGAGCAGTTCCTTTATGAAGGCAGGTAGCAAGGTAAAGTGTGAGTGCACAGGAGAGCAGATGATGAAGTTCTCTTTTGATTGCTTTGGTTTTCTCATTGAAGTAAAAACCAAGATTATTAGATGAGAGTACTTGTAGTTTGAGGAGACAGTAGACAGTGATCTAGGGAAGTAGGAGAGATGGAGTAAAGACATATATACTCAGGGCAATACAAATAATTCAATATAGTTACAGCAATGGTTTCAGAAATTTTAAAATTTCTATAATGCCACAAGATTCTGGAGGACATGACCCATGTACATTCATCTTTGGTTTGTTAACACTCAAAATAATGCCTGGCACATAGACGGTCCTTAATAAATAAATATTAAATAATTAAATAAGCAAGCCACCCCCTCATAGAGCAAAGGGCCTTCACTTCTTCATGTAAATTGGCAACATAATCCCCATATGCTAAAGCTTTAGTCAGAGCCTAACTCCTAAAGAAAATTTCTTTTAGATGAAACAAGATACAAATAATTATCTTGACATGATTCAAATACAAGTCTTCCAAAGTGAAATAAAAATTAAGAGAATCTCAGTATTGAAAAACTAAACCAGATCAACCCCTCACTTTATAGATGAGGAAAATGAGGCCAAGAGGCTTACTCAAAGTCAGTGAATCTACAATTAAAAAGCTTCAATTGAAGGTATCACAAATTCTACAGATAGAAAGGCCAAAAACAAAAACAAAAACAAAAAAAGCTTACTTTGCCATGTTTTTCCTTCATGGCATTACTTTGGTTGTCTGTTTCTGTCTTCTTGGTATCATCTTTTGGTTGGTCTGCCTTAGCTTTGTTTTCCTCAGAAATTGAGTTTTTCTCAGTTGCACTACTTGACTTATATTCCCACTTCACAAACTTCTCTTCTACTATGCCCTTCAGCTGAAAGTCATCCATTCTTTTTGGGTCAAAGCCTTCAATCTATATAAAAAGGCATTCCAAATTGGTAGTGGAAAAATTATTAAAAAAAAAAAAAGATGTACAAACAGACAAACCAGAATTCCAGCTTAAAATATTTGAGCAGAGCATTCTACAAGAGCAAACTACAAATACTTGCATGCACAGACATATCACAAACACATACTTACCCAACTTCCAAGTAAGCAAGGAAGAACAGGGGGTTTTCTTTGTTGTAGGAAAAACATCGCCATTAAAGCAAAACAGTAAGAAGGGATTCCACCATCAGTTTGGGAGTCAATATAGCACAACTGCAAAATCAAGGGAAAAAAAGTACTAGCATTTAGCTTTCCTCAATTAAAATTAGCTTCTTTTTTCTACCTTAACCACTGTAACAATTACAAACAATGAAAAACATAAAGGAATAACCTGAAATCTCATTAGCCTGAAATAGTAACTTTTAACGTGTTGATGACCAATTATTCATTTCTTACTTTGTGAACATAAATATACACACATATTTCAGTTGAATAAAATCATACTTTACATAGTAGGGCTTTTACCGAGGACACCTTTTTAAAATGTCTTTTGTTTAATCTCCCTCTATGTTTGCCTTGATATTAACCTTCTATGTACTCTTCCATGCCTTTTCCTATACTCAATCATATACAAATTACACCCCCCACACACACACACGCTATTTTTATATACAGGGAGAATTTTTTGCTTTGCCCAAACAATATACTATAGGTATTTCCCTGTATATTATTAACAATGCATCAACAAAGTCTGAGTCAACACAAATCTGACACATTCTTTCAATTGATTATGTTGTAGTTTATGATAAGGTTGGTTACTCAACAGTTCCTCTACTCAGTGACATTCATACTTTGTTCTCAATCTATGCCACTTCAAACAGTGCTGTGATATTTTACTCTTATACATATTTCCCCAAGTACTAGTGCAGTGGACCCTCAAATTACAACTGGACTGACATATGAAAAACTTGGGTTATTAGGTTGAAGGATGATTTATCCACCTCTTCTTATCTATAGCGAGTACCCAGGTAAACATCCAGATCTCAGCTGTATTGACTTACAATCAACTTGAGTTACAACCAGCCCTCAGGAACCAATCGAGTTCATAGTCAAGGGTCCACTGTACTTATTTCTATTGGATGTTTCCAGGAATGTATTTGCTAAATTTTAAAATATGTAATACATCTTAATTCTATACTGTAGGATTACTTTCCAAAGGTCACTAAAAGAAGTTTTATTTTCCATTAATATAAGTGTAAACATATCCCTTCCAATAAAAGGTATTTTCACTTAAAAAACTGTCAACAGGATAAATGAGATATAATAGTTATAATTATTTCAATTTGCCCCAATGAGGTTGTACAATTTTTGTTTATTAACCATTTAGATTTACTCTTTTCTGAACTGCTTTTTAAATCTTTTGCCAGTTTTTCTTTTTCACATATGACTTATCAATTTATATGAGTTTGTTTTTACTTACAGATGATAACTTTGTAATGAGCTACAGCCCCAGTCCTTTTTTATTTTTTATTTTGCACAGGGGTCTCACTAAGTCACTAAGTTGCCTGCTGCGCTACAACTTGTTATTCTGCCTCTGCCTTTCAGTGTTGGGACTTTGGGGCAGCACTGAACAGCTGGCCAATAATAACCTTTTTTATCTTACAAACTCATTTGAAAAATGACATTTTTCCTAATCTGCTATTTTTCTTCTCACATTGTTTGTGGTATAGCTTCTAGGTATCCTATCATAGTAAAAAGCTCTCCTTAACCCATAGCTTACAAACCAACATTACTTTCTTCCAGAATGATATACTTATGGTTGCAACCATTATTAAGCCACAACTTTTTCACTGAAGTAAATTATTTTCTTTCATATATCAAAATCTTATATAAAAAAAAAGTTGGTGAGATGAGGCCTCATCTTCAAAGTCAGATCTTTTTCTTAAAAAAAAATCTTATATGCAAAAGGATTACTTCAAGGTATTCTATTCTGTCTCACAGATTTTTCTATTACTATGTCAATATTATACTCTTTACCAAAAAGGTTTTATAATAGTAAAGTGGCCGGCCCCCTTTCACCTTTCTCTTTCTAAATTCTTTTGGCTAATCTTAAATATTTATCCTCACCCACACAGTCTTTAAGACTATTTTACTTTATATTTTTAAAACTACAAAAAATTTCAACTGGAATATGCATATGGTAATTAAGAAAATTTTACATTTTAGGTCTATAAAGTATCGTGATATTTTTACATTTTCTAAAAATTTAGTTATCAGTTACTCACTTTCTCTTAACGCTCACATATAATTTATTCGCAATTTGTACTTCCAAAATTCTGTCCCTATCTTTGCTTCATACGCACTCTAACCTTGGGTAAAGCATTATTACTTCTAGTTAATGTAACAAAAGATGTTCTCTACTGAACTCTATTTCTACTCTTTACTCTAGAGCAATCTTTAAAAATGTATATCACATAAAATTATGTATTGATTTTTACTCTTTCTTACATCTTATTGCCATTAAGTACAGAATTTTCACTCAGGTATTATGTCTGACCTCATCTCCAATTTTCATCCTCATGCACTTCATTCCAGCCACTTTTGACTTTCTTTTTGCTCCTTGCAACCACCTCATTCTTAAGAGAGTTTGTATTAGCTACCCATGAGATGTTATTCCATCAGATTTCCATGTAGCTTGCTACTGCTGGTCTGCATGTTTCAATACTTCCAAGGAGCTTTCCTTTACCATCCAGTTTAATGTCACTTTTCTATTCATATTCTCATATTCTCTCCCTACCCCATCATTTTTGCTGGTCCTGGGGACTGAACTACATCTCCAGCCCCTTTTTAAAATTTTGAGACTGTGTCTCACTAAGTTGCTAACTTGCCCAGGCTAGTCTTGAACTTGCAATCTGCCTGCCTCAGTCTTCCAGAACGAAAGCAGGACTTCGTATGTCATGTTAGGTGTTTCAATCACCTAGAACAATGTCTTAGCATGTGGACATTTGTGACAGTAACCTTGATTGTCAACTTGACTGGACTGATGCATGCCTAGATTAGTAAAGCACACTTCTGGGTGGATCACAGTTATAGATGTAAACTTGGGGGCTGCTTGGCAACTGAGTTGAGCAGTTTTCCTCCACCAACACTTCCACCATGATGTTTCGGACTTGGACTGAAACTTCTAAAATTGTAAGTCAAAAAAATTTCTTACCCTTTAAATTCAGTGTCAGACATCTTATTCCAGCAATGAAAAACTGACTCATTCAGAATACTGGCACCAGAGAAATGGAATCAGTTATATCAATACCTGACCTTGTAGTTCAGAAGCCTTTGGGAATGGTTTGTGAAAGGAAGAGTTTGGAAGGTTTGGAGATGCAGGCTAGAAAACCCCCAGAATGCTGTAAGCAAAGACAGAGGGCAATTCTGATGGGAGCTGAGAAAACCAGATTGCTGATAGGAAAGTAGACTGTGCTCATGAGTGTTCAGGTAGGAACAAGGAACCTATTGGTGTCTTAGTCACCTTTCTTGTCACTGGGACAAAATACCCAATGCCTGCATCTTAAAGGAGAAGAGGTTTACATTGGCTCACATTTCAGAAGTTTCAGTCCACACATGGTATGTGGCACAGTAGAAGGGCATGGACAGAGGAAAGCTACTAGGATCATGGTAGCCAGGAAAGAGAGAGTGAAGGGAAGATCCCAGGAAGGAGATATACTCTTGTAGTACACACTCCCAGTGACCTGCCGTTTCCAACCAAGCCTTCCTTCCTAACAAAACATTAGTTGTACTCATCAGTGGACTAATCTTGTAGTGTCCTCATGATCCAATCATCTCCCAAAAGCCACTCCTGTGAGCACATGAAGCTTTGAGAAGACATTCAGATATAACCTCTAATAATTGGGAGCTGGACTAGTAGTCATGCAAGAAACATTTTGATTAAAAAATTTGTTTATATTTCAACCTGCCCTAAAAGTCTGTGTGGGACTGATTTCAAAGACAACAAATTAACTGGTCTGGTAGAGAAATTTTAAGGCAATCCAATGTTCAATCCATGGTATGGGTACTAATGGCTGCATTTGGACAGGTTTACAGTGTGAATCAGGAGCTGAGCAAAACAAAACAAAGAACAGAAAAGAAAGATTTGAAAACTTGAGAGTTTGGAAAGAAGTATGTGTGAAGCTAGGGCCAAAGAATGTGTGAACTGCTTGCTGAAGAGATTAGCACCATGAAGAAGAAGCCAAAAGCCAGGCATGGCAACGCTCGCTTAGTCTGCTCTCTTATAGTTTCAGCACTCTAGGAAGCTGAGGTAGAAGGATCACAAATTCAAGCCCAGGTACCACGTAGGGCAATATGGTACTTAAGGAGATCTTCTCAAAATAATTCCTGCCCACTCCCCCCAAAAAGGGGTTTGGGATATAACTCAGTGCAAAGACCCTGGGTTCAATCCCTGGTACCAAAGGGTATGGCGGGGGAGACAATAGAAAAAAAAATCCCTTGAAAGCACCTCAGAAGTTGGTCAAACTTTACCATGGCAGGCTAAGGATATAAATCCTTCCAAGGAGTTCTGAGGAAGGACTTAATACATTTTCAGCTATATGTATTCAAGACAATTATGTAATCATGTCACAAAATGCATCTGGATAGTGACATTATGGCCTTGTTTACTGTCTCTATTTGGAGATTAAATATGGTTTAAGGAGATATGCAGTTATGCTTGAACTTCAAATTGACAAGGAGTAGAAGAGTAACGATTAATCTTGACTGTCAACTAGACTGGCTTAACACCAAGGAGTTAGTAAAGCAGACTTCTGGGTGGGTCATCAGGGCCTGACCTTCACTGACTATATCTGGTCCCTGACTCCCTCCTTTATGGCTCTTCCCCTGTTCTTCCCAGATGTCATGAGTTGAGCAGCTTTTCTCCACCATGCCCTGTGGCTGTGATGTTTCTGCCTTGGAGGCAGCTGACCATGGAACTTCTGAAACTGTTAAGACAAAAGAAACCTCTCCTCCTTTAAATTATACGTGTCTGGCTCTTGCCACAAGAACTAAAAAGTAATTAATACAGCATTTAATAAATATTTACTAAATGGATGAATTGCTTTAGGATTTCATTTGCACCTTTCAATTATGTAATTTTCTTCCTGTAATTTGGGGGGGGGGTACCAGGGATCAAATGCTAAACTTTAGGGTAGCCAGGCAAGCTGCAACACCACTAAGCGAAATTCCCAGCTCTTTCCTGTACTTTTCTTATTAAATGTATTCCTTAGTATAGTTTCTGTTGCTATTGTGAAGGTAATTATTTTTCTTTATTTCCATTATACCAAGTAATTTACTTATTTGGGGCTTTTAAAAACAGATCTCACTATGCAGTTTAGACTGGTCTTGAACTCACAGCAATCCTCTTGCCTCAGCCTCTTGAGTGCTAGGATTACAGGCGTAATCCAATGTACATAGCTCCCCACGTTTTTTTGGTTTTTTTGGTACTGGGGATTGAACTCAGGAGCTTGTGTTTGCCAGGCAGGCAGCAGAACCACTAACCTAAATCCCCGGCTCTCCCAAGTTTTTTTAACAACAGAAAAAGCTACTTATTTTTGAATATTCATCTTGAATTATGATGTTACCAAATTTTCTTATTGATCCTATAATCCTAGCAGGTTTTTATTAGGACTTCAATGATATAATATCACATGATGAGTCAAAATATATGACTTTTTAAAAGCTATCATTTTTCCAATATTTACATTATTTCATTTCCTTTCCTTATTCATTATCTAACATGTCCAAAATAATATAAGACATCAATATTGAACATCTCTATAAGCAAGTCCCTGTTTAGAATGGTGCTTGTTATTTTCTTTAATGGTATTTATTGTAGTTCTAGTTCTAGTTCTTTCATTTCTAGTTAATACAAAGGAGCTGAGGTTTTTCTGTTTGTTTGGCAAGAATATGCCATGTCAGCATCTATGATGGTCTTGTGCTGCATTCGTTAAGATACCAAATTAGGGCTGGGAATTTATTTAGCTCAGTGGCACTGCGCCTGCCTTGCAAGTTCAAGGTCCTGAGTTCGATCCCTGGTACCAATATTTTTAAAAAAGATACCAAAATAGGTTAACATACTTTTGATAGTACACTACTCTACAATTTCTGAAATAAACTCCACATTATCATAGCACATTAACCTTTGATATACTGATGTATTCTTCTGCCTTCTATTTGACTTAGGTTTCTGCATCTACATAAGATCAGTCCTAGTTGGGTTGATATTTTAAATTATTATTTTCTTCTTTAGGTAATAAAGATTTAGCACAGTAGCTAGAGCTGTACAATAATAACTTGGTACATTCAAGATTACAACTCAAGAAAAAAAGGGAAGGTTAAAAAAAAAAACTTGTCAAAAAGAACCTAAAATACCCCACTATAATAAATTCTTATTTATTCAAAATATTAGAACAAGATGTAAAGTGGCTACTGATTAGATGAACAGAACTCTTACAACTATGAAAAACTATCAATGTATTCTGTTAACACATCAGATATCTCACAGAGGCACAGAATCAGAGAAGTTTATTAAAGGTGCTCTTAAAACCCAATGATCTCTTTTAGACATCAGATACTGCTAAAAACACACCTGTAATTGCCAGTGCTGAGGCAGAAAGATCGCCACGAGTTCAAGGCCAGCCTGGGCTACACAGTGAATTCAAAGCCAGTCTGAGCTACACAGGAATACAAAAAAAAGACCCAGGGTCTTTTGCACTGAGTTATATCCCAAACCCCTTTTTGGGGGGAGTGGGCAGGAATTATTTTGAGAAGATCTCCTTAAGTACCATATTGCCCTACGTGGTACCTGGGCTTGAATTTGTGATCCTTCTACCTCAGCTTCCTAGAGTGCTGAAACTATAAGAGAGCAGACTAAGCGAGCGTTGCCATGCCTGGCTTTTGGAAAGAAGTATGTGTGAAGCTAGGGCCAAAGAATGTGTGAACTGCTTGCTGAAGAGATTAGCACCATGAAGAAGAAGCCAAAAGCCAGGCATGGGATTACTGGTATATATCATCATGCCTGGCTCTCTATAGCATTTTGAAAGTAATCTTCCCAGGTAGAAAAATAAAGGCACAAATATGTGATAAACCTTGCTCAAAATTATATAAAGATTTAGCAATTCCCCCTACCCCAAAGGGGAAAAAAAGGGTTGAAATTTTTTAACTGGCTTATTCATTCATTCATTCATTCGTTTGTTCACTTAGCTTATTCCATTTCATAGTATTGAATTCGTATAGTATGCTAGGCATTGTGGTAGGTTCAGAGCATGAGACAGTAAATAAGGATCACCCTCCCACAGTCTGGTTTACTGACTCCACTCACAAAAGTTTAATGGTCTCCTTTTTCAAGAAATTGGACTGATCATTCAACAAATATTTGTTGGGTACCTGTTAAGTGCTGATAAAGTAAAATAAGAGATATTGGGGCCAGCAATGAATAAATAAAACATTAAAATCTCTGCCTTTTAAGAATATATAATTTCATGGAAGAGAAGAGACTACAAACAAATATATATATGCAAGTGTTAGTAAGTGCTATAAAAAAATAAAGCAAGGTAAAGGCAAGAAGAGTGAAAGGAGATGCTATTTTAACAGGATGAAGGAAACTCTGAAAAGGTAAAATGTGAGTGGGAATGTGGATGGGGGTAAAAGGAATAATTCATTTTGCAGGCCTGGGACAAGAACACTCTAGATAAAAGGAATAATAAAAACAAAGACATGTATGTAAAGAGGCCCCAACCTGAAGCTTTCTTACTTTTCCTTTAGCCAGTTGTCCTAGTCCCAAGATTGGGGCAATCCTCTAATCAATCCAGACAAAAAGATTCCAAAAACTCAGGTAACTTTTGTTTTGATGTTATCACTCTAATCTCTAAAAGAACGATTAAAATAACCAGTAGTCTTTGTGTAAAACAAAATTTACTCATCACTAGTCTAACAAGTGATCACAAATCTTTCTAGTCATTGAGACTGTTAATGGCAATTACCACTACCTCTCCCTAACCCCACACCAAAGATATAAACACAAGGCTCAGATAACTAATCCTCAGCTATTGCCCAATCAAAACTGCTTCAGGTTGCCCATGATTAGAGGAAAAAAAAGTAATACTCAAGACATTGAAAACTATGCCAAAAGAACTTTGATTTACATATCATTTTGCAACCTTGTAACTTTAATCTAAAAAGATTAAAAACTTGAGCCTCATATATTAAAACATAAAACAGAACATTTTTATAGTAAAAACTAAAGTATAACAATAATTCTTAAAATATATAAATAAGCCTATATAGTAGAACTCCTTATCCACAGTTCAGTTTCACTTTCTATAATTTCAATTACCCACAGTCAACTCTGATCCAAACTAAAGGTTGAGAGCCACACAGCCCACGATGGCCTCTATCTTGTGATCTTCCTGCCTGGCTTCCTGAGTGAGGATCAAAGGCATGTACCACAATGCCTGTCTTAGCAGTACAAAAATATTATATCATAAATTCCAGAAGTAAACAAGTCATAAAGTTTAAATAACTTATATTAAATTATATTCTTATAATTGTATTTTATTATTGTTGCTGTAAATCTTAGTGTATCTCATTTATAATTAAACTTTACACAGATATGTACACACAGGAAAAAAAAATAATACATATCAGAGGCTCAACACTACCTAATATTTCAGGCACTTCCTGGGGAAGGAAATATTGTATGTTTATGAAATTGTTTCATGATCAGAAATCACAAATTATACCACTTTCTGTATGGCAAACATAACATTTTGTACTACATGTTACAATTCACATTATAAGGTCAGTACAAGCCTGACTTACTTTGATGCTTAGGTACTTTTTCTTTTGTTCCACTTACCTTAGCCCAGTAACGAAATGCTAAAACCAAAGGAGTAAAAACAGGTTCCATTTTGCTGAGAGCAGCAAGTAAATCAGTAGTGAGACATGCTGTATCATTTCCCGCACTCACTCTACAAAGTAAACCACTGTGAATAAGAAAGAAACCAATTTCACTGTATTAATACCTAAAAAAGCAAAATACTTCAAATTCTGTGCCTATCTTTTCTAGTCACCTTATTGTAATACCAAAAAGTTACAGTAAAAACAAATGTTTTAACAATATTAGTATGAATTGAAAATTATATATTTAAATGGTTTTAAACTTTGTGCATACTTCAGAAATAAATTTCAGTATCTAAATTCACAAGAAATGAATTTCAAAAGAAGCATTAAGAATCATTAAAATCTGATCTTTGAGATAAGCCATCAATCTCTTCAATGTCAGTACAACATACTTTCCTAGTTGACTTTGTTTTGCAAATTAAAAAAAAATGAAACACTGAACTGACTAGCTACACCTCTTCACTTTTAATTTCTCCTATCCAGACTGTATGTTATTTTCAGATTAAAGATAAAAGATTTACTTATTAACCCATGAGTCATGCTTATATCTACGTGAACATAGGTGCTACCTTAAATGAGATGACACACGTGTAATAGAAGTATTCTGGGGGCAGAGGAAGAATGAATCTAGATTGCCACACAGAGGCAATTTCACATAATGTGGTGGAAAAAAAAGTTAGAAATCAGATTGCCTCCACTCTAACTCTGGTTTTCACCTAAATGACATGAATTTGGACATATACTTAATCCCCTGTTGGTCTCAATTTTTTAATTTAGAAATTAAGAAAGCTGAATTAGATCTCCATAGACTCTTCTACCTTCGAATAAAAACACAATAATCTTAAAACGTAAGAAAAAAGATTGATAACCAATAAAAGAACAGTTTACCACTTATGTATTCTTTCCATGTCTTCTTTATTAATCTCAAATAGCTCTATTTTAATTTATTTCTCAAAGACATATTGCCCTCTTAGTTCTACATACATGACTAGAGAATTAAGATGTCTTCAACGACTCATTCAATTTCAGTAAACCAAAAACTAGATTCTAAATACTGACATCCTTAATAAGAGAGTTCTTATTTATGTGTGTATCCCTAGAGCAATATAAACCTACATATAATAAATGCTCAATACTTTGAGTTGAGTAACTGGACTTAAGGGAAAAAATGTTTTGCCTAGAGTGTCCCCGTACCTGGTTGTCTGGTAACTTTATTTCTTGTTCATATGTATTTGGTAAACTTCCTATTTTTACTTAATAGCAACTAGTATAGTCATATTAATCCAAAAAGAAATCTAAACTATTTTCTCTTTTGGAGAAGTCTACTAATTTTTTTTTTTTTTGTACTGGGGATCGAACTCAGGATCTTGCACTTGATAGGCAGGCACAGTCACTGAGCTAAATCCCCCAGCCCTGTAAATTTTTTTTTAATACTTCATTTTCTCTTCATTTTTACCAACCTTTTCCGATCTTTGCATACCACAACAGGAACTTTAGCATGAAAATCAGATTCCACATCTACATATAATACTAATAAGAGAAAAACAAAAACAAGTAAGCTAATGTCAGTATCTCTAGAGTATTTACTCTATAGTAAACAATAAGTAATAATTTTCTTCTTAAAAAAATCACTCTCATTGCTTCTGTAGGAAAATCCATTCTTCTCACTGTGAGCATGAACCCAAAAGAATCTCTTACCTCTCTTGGTGTCATCAACAAACTACAGGTACAATCACAAATGCTGTCTGAAAATTACAATTACCTTGAAAGGAAATGTCTTAACATCCTGTAAGAGGTAAAAATATTTTTAATTGCTCCATATTTCATTAACCACTCTAATAAACCTTTTTCTCATAATTACCTGGGTCAACTAGGAGACAAGGACATGCAGGCTATAAAAAGACTCACACCAGAGATAAGGTTCTGGGGTAAGAGATAATTGCTAAGCAAGTTTTCTGAATTAGAGTCATGGGAAGTCAAAAGGCTGTAAATAACTACAAAAAGGAATGCAGAGAAAGGGGGTAGGGTAATAACAGGCACAGAACCACAGGGATTGCTCCAGGTAAACAGTGAATCCACCTCCCCACCCCCAGCCATGTCAAGGGACATGGGGGTAGGGACTCCTGAAAGTTAGGAATAAAAGCACAGAGCTTCTGAACTTGAATGGACCTGTCTGCATGAATGGGCACAACTCTTGCAAGAGTATGGATCAGTCTTGCTTTAGCTGCCTCTGGAGTCCTTTTTATTTATTTATTTTTCTCTTCTTTTATTTTTTGGTCTGGATAAGTAAATTCACTTCTCACACATCCCTAAAAGTTTGAGTATTTCCAACTTCATAGACAGGGCTAGGGATTTAGCTGAGGGGTTCTGCCACCTGCCTCGCAAGCACAAAGACCAAAATTCAATCCCCAGTATCAAAAAACAAAACAAAACAAAACTTCATAGACATTGCAAAGACAGGACATCACTTATTTCTAAGGACTTATCAACTTTTCAGAGTTTAGTTCTTTTAAATTACCCAATGAAAGAGGAAACTAACTCTGCTGACCTCATTTGCTATTAAGAAATGAAAACATTGCCTAATCAAAGCTGTTAAAGACAGACTAACAGAGTGAAGCTCATTTTCTGTAACTACAAGTTAAATCCCATGCCACCAAAATCTAATTTAAATAAAGCTAAATGAATTAACATTATTTCACTTTAAATTCAAAAAAAGCTCTCAAGTAGTATTTGCTGGAATTATTTCAAAAAATGTGTTGAAGGCTTGTATGTCAGAAATGTCTTTATGCACAGGAGACAGGACAATGAGTAAGATACAAATAGCCTGATGAGGGGTTTGGAACACAAATATAGAAACAAAATCTGTAGATGGCAGGTCGCTAGATAACATGGTGACGTAAAGAAGAAATACTTTAAAATCAAATTGGGTTTTATGAATCTATAATATACAACAAGATGATCTCATGTATTTTAATAGAAAAGATATTTTAAATTATAAAGGATATTTTAAATAATCACAACAGGATTAAAAATCTAGTAAAGTGTATAAAGAGGTTAAAAAGTATGTCTACCTCTTATCTGAAATATACTTTTAAGTTTTTGTGCAATTAGAAACAAGGATTTATTAACAAAGAAACTGTATTAAAATACCTTTACAGATAAATTATACCAAACTCATTCCTTAAAACTAATTTTCCCAGAAAATGGCCCAAAAGAAGCTGAGAAATAACAGAAAGATGATAGAGCAGATACAAAGAAAAAAAGTACAGAATTGATATTGAAGCTATATAGTTTAATCCATTTTATCCTCACAGCAAGCTCATCATGAAAATACTATATTACTGCCATTTTATAGTTGATAAACAGTGTTAACTCAGAAATAATGTGCCAAAGGACACATAACCAATAACTAACAAAATTAAAATCTGTGCCTGAAAGTCTGGATCCAGATCTTGAGCTAAGCATTTATTTTGTAACAAGGAAATAGAACCCTTGGTGGGCCTGGGTTAGATCTCTAGCATAAATAAAGAAAAAAGGAAACAGAGAGGAGGGAAAAAGGAAAGGAAATAGGAGGGAATGAGAGAAAGAGGGGAATGTGAGGATGAACTAAGACATAAAAGCCAAGAAAATAAACTGACATACTGTAATATATGACCTAGAAATAATAAATACTGTAATACATGACCTAGAATTGACCTTGGGCTTTGTTTGAGACATTAGTATTTTAAAAATTTTTATTTGAAAGCATTTTTATCTATGAGAATGTCCTGTTTACAAAAGCAATCCAGACAAAGCACATCTGAAAAACTTAGTATGACTCAGGGGTTATTGTCACTTTAAGTGGGGGAAAACGTATTTAACCAGTGTATGCATAAATTTTTATTCCAAGTCTCTTCTTAACCTTCCTTTATCAACAACTTCCTAATGATTATCAGTTTTCTTTTTACATAAAAATCCCATATACAGTCGTCCCCTTAGTCACAGGAGATACTCAGACCCTCCAGTGAATATCTGAAACCATAGATAGTTTTTTTAGCTATTCATATATGCCCTTGAATTTAATTTCTAACTTATTCACAGTAAGATAGTAGCAATAATAAAATTATAAGAACATAATGTGATACAAGTCAGTGAATGTACTGTTTTCTCTGTGCATAGTTTTACCACATATTAACTCAAAATGCAGAAAGCAGAACCACAGAACATAAAACTACAAAGAGAAGACTACTGAATCCAAAGCTAATACTTTTTAAATTACCTAAAATGCATTTTTTACTATATTAACTTAATATAGTATCTTTGGCCCAACAGGTAAATTATATTGTCTGGTATATCTATTAAACAGATATATATATATACATATACATATATCTATCTATATGAAATACAATGACTCAAACATACTAACAGTTTTAATCTGAAGCAAATTTTTTTTTTTTTTTGGTGCCAGGGATGGAACTCAGGTCCTTGTGCTTGCGAGGCAGCCAGCAGAACCACTGAGCTAAATCCCCAACCCTAACAGTTTTAGTCTGGTTAGCCATATATAAACATAATGCATGTCCATTGAGAAAAACAATTTTTAAAAAAAGAATAAAATACGAAACTTACCATTTTTTTTCAAAATTCCAAGCACTTGTATTAGAAGATCTGGATGATTCATCTAAAAAATTTAAAATTAATTCAACATACTATTGTCAAAGTATAAGTAGCTGATCATTAGATAGCACTCGATTTTATTAAAGAACAACACATAAATAAAATCATGGTCTGTATTTTAAAATAATGAAATAGTGCTTTTATCTTTTACATCACAAATTTGTTTACAGAAGTAAAATATAATAAATGTAGTATTTATTATTCTAGGAACACTCCTAAAAATGGGTTATTAAACTGAGAAAAAAATTTCTAGAATTTTACAGCAAACCAAATGAAAAAGAAACAAGTCTACCAAATGTAAAAAAGTTTTGAGCTAAGAACTTTAAAGAATATACACAACTGGCATCTTGATCAAAAGACTTAGACTAAAATACTACTTTATGTTTAAAGTATACTTTGCTGCTACTTAAAATTACCTCATAATCATATTAAAGATTTCAGATCAGCAATCTAATAAAAGAAGCAAAAGATCTCTACACTGAAAACTACAGCACTCTGAAAAAAGAAATTGAAGAGGATATAACAAAATGGAAAGATATCCCCTGCTCCTGGGTAGGAAGAATCAACATAGTGAAAATGGCCATACTACCAAAACTGCTATATACATTCAATGCAATGCCAATTGAAATTCCAACACTATATTTCACAGAACTAGAAAAAAGAATCCAAAAATTCATTTGGAATCATAAGAGACCTAGAATAGCAAAAGCCATCTTAGGCAACAGACACATGGCACTGGGTATAACAATTCCCAATTTGAAACTATACTACAAAGCCACTGTGATAAAAACAGCATGGTACTGGCAAAGAAACAGGCCTGAGGATCAGTGGAACAGACTGGAAGACACAATAACAAACCCAGATGTACTCAGCTACCTCATCTTTGACAAAGGAGCTGTCCATCCTCAGTGGAGGAAAGATAGCCTCTTTAATAAATGGTGTTGGCCATGAGGCCCAACAGAGCAAAGCAAACAGGCAAGGCAAGAAATTAAAAGGAGGTGAAAAAGTAAAAAGAGTCAACAAAAGGCCAATAACATGTCAATAATAAGTCAGTACATATCAGTTATAACCAGCAATGTCAATGGCCTCAACTCACCAATCAAGAGAAATAGACTGGCAAAATGGAATAAGAAGCAAAATCCAACTATATGTTGTATACAAGAAACACACCTAGTACAAAAAGAAGCCCATAGCCTGAAAGTGAAAAGATAGAAAACAATTCTCCATGTGACAGGAGCCCAGAAAAAAACAGGGCAGCAATCTTATTTGCAGACACAGTAAATTTCAAACCAAAACTGATTCTAGTATTATTGATGTAGGATGGTACTGTATCTTACCTCTATGAATGTAAAATATTTTATACCTGCTTTACGATACATAGTAGGGACCATGCTTTATCAGGGCTACACTTAATGATACTACTCTAGAATGTTTTCTTTCCAGATGATGATTAAGATGCTAATAAAAAAAATGGTGCCAGGTACCACAACAGCAACAGAACTTTGCTGTTTTCTGGATATTATTCTTTTCTTTGTTTCTTTTTGTTTTGTTTTCCTTTGTTTTTTTTAATGGAATGTGCTGAATGTCTATAATTTTGTTCAGATGACTGCAGAACCTGGAAAAGCTGTTGCTGCTATCGATGCATTACATACTGCTATTATCAGTCTTTTTATATAAATATAAATACACACACACACACATATAAAGTGAATTTTGGGAAACTTTAACGGTGCTGCCAATTTTGCAAAAAGTCATCCCAATTTACTGTGTTGAGTTGGCATTGTACAGAAATGGTCAGCTATATTGGTCTAGAAATGTTAATTTTTTTATTTTTATTTTTTATTTTTCTTCCATGTATACAGGGGTAACACATTGTACTAAATATGTAAGGTCATATCTACGTGGGTTTGATTACAGAAACTAATAAAGTATTCTCTAAATAATGAAAAAAAAAGAATAAGGTAAGACTATAAGAGCAAGAAGCAATTTAAATATGTTCAGGGACCATTTTCATCTCCAGAATTAAGGATTATTTTAATGTTACATCATTGCCTTTTCTCTTTTACTTTCTTTTTTAGTTTTATTTTAGGGTTCCCTATTTTTAATGTTCATACAGAGATTTCTTTACCTGAAATAATGAATAGTTTCTTTGGTGTGAAAAACTATAATAGTACACAGGATCCTAATGAGACAATTAATAATGTGAAATAGGAAGTAAAGGGCTAAAGGTGTAGGGAAAGTGGGAAGGGTGGGGGAAAGGTAATAAGGGAGAGAAAAAAATATGAGAAACTGAAAAAATGGAAATAAAGTGTTTGTAAATGGGAAGGGGAGCAGGGGGTGAAGGGAGGGCAGGGACTAGGAGAAAAAATGAGAATCAAGACCTATTATGTAAAGGTACAGAATCCCAATGATGAATGTAA